AGATGGCCTCTTTCATTATTTTCAAAAAGACGGCTTATGAACCCCTGTTAAAATTCAGTTTTTTACAATTTTAACCCTGTTTGGCTATTTTTTCAGAAACCAAACCTTCACTATATTATTGAGCATACTTGATTACATTGATTATGTCAATATTTAGCTGGTTTAGACGCCATCTTCATTGTGTTTAAAAGGTTACTAATAAATCGATATTTTAATCTGATTTTTTGCAATTTTGATCCTGTTTGGCGATTTTTTCAGTGATCAAACCTTCACTATATTATTTAGTACCCTTGATAACATAGATCACGAATAGAATCAACTGGCTTAGCGACCTCTTTTAACGTGCTAAAAATGCAACCTTCGATTCATAATATGAACTTTTCTTCCGAACGCGTTGTTTTTTAAAAAAACGAAACACATATTCGGAATCAGCATAAAAAATTACATTGAAAAAAGTTCATTTCATAAAAATATTCCAAGAGGAGATTTTCCCTATTCATTTGCAGGTCCTCCTTATTCAAGGAGCCCCTGGTTGGATTAAACTATAATCAAAACATGAACCGACCTTGTATCAGGTTAAATTGTTAACCACTATTCAACTTTATCACCAACAATTCTAATCATTTTTCAAGCTCACAATGTGCAAATCAACTAAAACATTGACACAAACAAGCAACATTTACCTTGTTTACTTGGCCATTACAGACTTGAAAGATTGATTAATTTTTTGTTCGATTAATTATTCAATGATTACAGATCTTAATCTATCCTCAAAATTGTCATCTGATGATTGTTGACAATGAAAAGTTAGATTAACAATTAATAGCAAACCTGTAAAAAGGTTATCAATTTAATTCATGAATTAGGATCAATTTTTACTCTCATTTCAATTTTAATCAAGGTTACTGGGCAAGCCTTTTCATCCATTTATTTTGCAATGTAAAATAATTAATTACAAATTTAATTGCAATAATAATAGTAATAGTATCAATAATGAGATTCAGTTGAATATTTAATCATGTTTTGACAATAAGAATCAATTTTGACCATGAAATAATGATGAATGCAAAACACACAAAATATTTAAATATTATCTTAACATGAAAATATTGATCACATTTTATTATTACAATTAGAGTGGCCTTGATTAATGATTATCACAAGATGATTAACAATTTGGGTAACAATCGTAAATATTGTTATATTGTATTGAAATGTGAGCAAAACATTGGCTAAAAAGGTTAAAAATACCAAGCATAAGAATGCAAGATTAATAACAAAAACAAGATCATGAGCTTAGATTTGTTATTTGTTTTGTAGCAATTAGAAAGAATTATTGACGCTTTTAAGACTCATGATTATCGTACGATACAAGATTAATCAACAAAGCTCAAATGATAATCAATATGAAAACAATATCAATATTAAAAAGATACAATCTTTGTTTACAATGCCAAACAGATGAAACGATAACTTTTCTAGTGGGGTTACCATATCAGGTTATCCAAATTGTTTCCGATAATGGCAATCAAATGATTATCGACATTTACCATTCAAACAAAAATGTTCAAATCAAGTGAACGAATCAACCGGTAATTGGTTAATTAATGGGTTGAACGAGTCTGGGTAAAGATTGGCAAAATTAATGATCGATGTTGCTTCTAATATTGTAATACATTCTTGTTGACCATTTGTGCATTTTGGTTCAACCATTTGCCTTTCACGATTCACGCGGTTAGCGTTTGGTCTATTGATGACTTTTATGGTCAACTAGGGGTCAATGAAGATTGTCAATCATCTTGATTATAATGGTTAAACTTGAAGGAGACAGAAAACATTTAAAATATTTCATTTGGAATCAGGTTTTAATATTTTTCTTCTTCTTGCTCTTCTTTTAAGTGCAGCAAGTTTCAATCATAATTAACCACCTTCTAAAGGTGTGTCCAGCCTCTCTCTCAACAAAACTGTCCTGACTATTCAGGTACAACATATAACAGGTAACAAGTGAGAGGAAAGAAGAAGAGAAAAAAACTGATCTGCAATTCCTTAAAGCATTTCATCATCCGACAGTTGCACTGTAACAGTTGTTATTAGATTCATGAGGCAATGTTTAACTTAAATTTCAATGTTATCAACTTTAAGAACAGGCAAATTAAAGTTAAAAATGGTCAAACAAACAACATTTCACCATTTAGTATCATAACCATCGATATCACCTCATCAACTTGTAACTCGGCGGGAAAATTTCACCAGATAAGCTTTCAATTTTTTCTTCTTTTTCCACCTTTGCTTTCCTGTTTTTTTCATCTTCTTTCAACTTGATTAAACTCTTGTGATAATCCAATGTCCGTACATTTATTTAAATGAAAACCCGTCATTAATCGTCAGAGGATATTGACTAGCAATTAAACCAAGAAATGGGTTTACCATCAAGGAAAGAAAGTGTAAACTTGCCTTCTTGTCTGACTTGGAAGGCTCTTCAGGTTCTTTTGTTTTTTCTTATTCTCTCTTCAGCAATTTTATCCAAATCAATAATAAGATTGAATTGTCCTCAAATTGATTATCAAACTATTATCTAATTAGAATCAGATTGAGATTAAATCTATGATACATTTGGCATGTTTGATCATTTACCATCAAGGTTACTCTTGTAAGAGTCTCAACCTCTTATTCAGTTTAACATTATATACAGAGTAAACTGTCATTTATTTCATGGTAATTCCCAACAATTTGCTATATTAAGATCAAGATATGTACAGTTTAACATTAACAGTATCAATTCATAAAATAAATGTATTATATAAGTAAAATTAAACGTTTTTAAATACTCTTCACCATTGAGCTCTTCTTTTACATTGGGAACATTTTATCAAACATTTTATCAAACATTTTATCTTGAATCTTATTATTTTTATTTTCCTTTATCATTTACACTTCAATTACTCATGTGATTAATTAGCATAAGTCATTGATTAACAAATTATGATTAGACAAAGTAAATTTTGACTATTTTTGATCTTTTCATTCATTTCCAGTTGTATTTCAATGTACTTTGCAACTTGAAAAACTGTAACACTTGTTGTAAATTGACTTTCAACTTTGAATGGTTAAACAAACGGCAGAAAAATTGATTTTGATAAAAAATTAACACAATTTTATTAGTAAAATTTTCATACGAAATTGATTTGAAATTGATTTACATTTGATTTCCCTTTTAAGTGTTAATTGTGGTTTTGGTTAAAAAAGATTTGATTACTGTTACATTGATTAAGACTCTATTAAGAGTTGATTTGTAAGGTGAAAAATATAACTTCTTGTCAACTTGTTGACAAGAATGATTGGTTAGGAATCAAGGTTATGATCTTAATACTTATACAATGGATTATCGATAAGAATTGTATGAATTAAATAAACTTTGGGATTCGTTCATTTTGATTAATAATTGAAAGAAACATAATGCCAATGATACCCAATTTCAGTTCGGCGAACTGGATTGGGTTTGAGTAGCAAAAAGAACGAGCTTTTGAAGTAGATTTTGTTCGACTTTTTGGCGTCTTGAAAACATTCTCGTGTCACAATTTTTGATAATAATCAAGACTATATAAACAATCGGCAGGAACCAAACTTCCAATGCAATATTTTTCCATGAGATCATATGCATCTTTACTGTGTCTTGAGTTTGAAAAAGCATTTGTAGCATCACGACCAGCGTTTTCTGCTATTATATAATCACCTCCAGGATGCTGAATAAGGATGAAAAGAAGAAAAGATAAAACAAGAGTTAGATAACAAATTAATAACAAATATTTTCCCCTTCATCTACTTCTGTTTCAGAGATAAATGAAGCTTGTGTAACTTCATTTATCAATATAACCTACAAAGAGGCTGATGATGATGATATTGAAATGAAAAAAAGAAACCTTTAAATGAAATGATTTAATCAAAAATCCAGATAAAGTACGTTAACTCGTTCGCATGAAATGTTTGAATAAAGGTTAAGAACGATGAGTATCGTCAATAATAAAGATCTTTTCTCTGGAATTTTTTACTGTGAAATACACAGAATTAACAGACTTTAGATTAGTTATTGGAATATTTTCTTGCAGCTTCAGCCTCTTTATATTTTACACCTATTTATATATATACATATATATGCTATTTTGTTTATTGCAGATTACTGAGTTAATCTCAAGTAGATTCAAGTAGGAATAGGGAAACTGGTATTATACTGTTATGCAAAAGTGATTGAAGATAATTATTACCTCATACATAAAATCAGTAACGTCATAGACTTTGTCGAAAAGGACAATCCAACAATCATAGACTGTACAATGTTCAGCAACTTGGGCGAGTGTATATTGAGATGAGGGAAGAGATTTGGTTTCAACGTCGTTTGTCCATGGGACAATTTTGGTGATCTCTTGAAAAAAAGAGTTTGGCAGCAATTTTTTCACAGATCTTGTAATTATTGAATCAACTTTACTCCATAAAGAGTCACATTCGTATTCAGACGAAATGTCACAGTCAATTGCTGTGTTCTTGATATTGTGATCTTCAACCACAAATTGTTCATCGTCCAGGCAATCTGGAGCATCTAAAGGTAATTCAGGTAAATCTTCATCCAAAATATCGGCCATTTGTTGAGTTGCTGACCATAATTTTTGAAAAGCTATTTGAGCTTGTTCAAATTTTTCCTTCCTTTTCTCACTTAATTCACCTTTAGATATTAATGTACGACGATTTTGTCGCTCCAATGATTGTAATGATTTATGATCACGAACTATGTGACTTGCTAAACTTTTATAATAATCTTTTAAAAGATTTCTTAATCCTCTTTGACGATCAGATGCTAAAAAATCACTTTTAACCAATGAAATACCATATTTATCAGATAATATACGCATTTTACGTGGAGTTAAACCGGCATAATCATCACCACAATGACGGCAAAATGTTAATATTATATTGATATTGTTATGATTTTCTTTATCACTGGTTACCAGAAGAGTTAATAGATTACCAAGTATGGGAAGACCTTCTTTCAATGTAAATATTCCACATGTTATAAGTTCAGCAAAAAATCTTATATCAATTCTCATTTTGGATAAATTTAAATTTGCCAAATCACTTGGTTTTTTGGGTAAACTTTTATTCCATGAATCTAATAGTTGAGATGAAAAATCTGAATAACGTTGATGTAAAAGTGAACATATTTTGATTGCCATAGGAATATCGGACATTTTTAATTTAGCTTCGACCAAAGCACCAGCAACTTCAGATATATATTTGGATAAATTTAATGATAACATATCCTTAATAAGACTTTCCTTTTGACCTTCTGTCATGTTACGCAGCTTTTTAACGAATGCACAGCTCTTTTTAGCACCAAAGTCTAATCCTTGAAGATCTTCCTCTGCTCTGGTATAATCTGGACGTTCATTTTGAGCTCTTAGTTCAGCTTTTTGTTGAAATTTGTCTTCACATTCTCGTATATATTCACCAAGTGATTCCTTTTCAACGACAGTATTTACTTGATCACCTGATTCACTTTTATCCACATTATTGTCGACCATTATATCTCATTAACTTTAGTTTGTGTGTGAATATTGATTAAAGTTGATTTTATCGTTAATCCACGTCAATATGAATACTCAGGTTTATGAAAATAAATCAAAAAAACAACTGTTAACACGATTCTTTGACCAAAAGAGAAAGCGAAAATTCAAAACAGTTATAGAGAGGAAAATGCACCACGATTTAAGGTTGACGACAAGTTGACCATCCAATGTAAGTATCGAAGTAATAGTAATAAACACAATTAAAGAATTAATTAATTAAATGACAAGCAATTTAACAAATAAAACATACAATTTGGTTAGAATTAGAAATAAAACAAAGATTCAAATGCTTGTGATGTAAATAAAGGGTGACAGACGATTGAGGATTTACGAGTTTAACAGCAACTATTGGTTAAAGATAAAAAATGGGAGAGTCAAAAATCAGAGAGCAAAGTGAAGGCTACAATTGATCAAAAGAAACTTGTTTTGCAAAAAAATGAGTGCTTTAAGTGCTTTAGTACAACGCCACCAAGCATCATAATTTGCAAACTCTTAAGATCCTAACAATAAATCTTATTTTTCAATGATCTTCGGAAGTATTAGATCACAAGAATTTTGATCGCTCGAAATAATCAGATAAAAAAGATACTTTTTTTCTGTATTTTCCTACTTAATGATTACTGATGTATCTTTATCATCTCTGACTTTAAATTTTGACCGATTATGTCTAAAGGTTTCGCTCTTTCGATCAAGATTAGGCCATCCCTAGTCTTTGGATCAAATATGCTGTTGGTCACTGAAAAGCTCTTCCTTTCGTTTTCCTTCTACTATTAATAATAGTCAAAGAGTTGAGATTCGAGACTCGATGTGTTGTTAAGAGCATCAATTGAAATCCTTTTGTTCAATTTAAAGATTTGTGATTCACAACTATTGTGAAGGGATAAGCGCGAGTTGGCAGCGATTCAAGGTTCAAACTTCGATTGCTTTATTTGCAATTTTGCATGTTCATGTTTTATCAGCCCTGCTAAGTTAATGAAACTTTTGATCGCTCAACATAAATTGAGCTTGTAAAAATATCTAACTGGTTTGATTTACAGACAAGTTTTTTGCTTCGAGTGCTGATAGCAAACAGAGAACTTATTTTTCAAGCTTACAATTGATTGGTGAACACAAATGATCGTTTCTTTTTCGATTTGTCGGCAATTCTCTGTGGTCAATGACATTAAGGCTTTTCGCATAAAATAATGACAACATGACGACTATACTTAATAGGAATAGGTCAAAAATGGTAACACTATTCGTCTTGCAGTTTAATGACTTTCAATCTTGTTTAGTTGAATGACTTTAGCAAACAGTTAATCAATTTCGCTAAACCAGCGAATGGACTAATGTGTGCGATGACAATGTTGTTTAAATTTCAAATAAAAAACATGTTGCGATTAAAATAAAATTAGGAGTTGAACAATTTATCTGGTAATGTCGCGGCTTCCAAGGCGCCACCCAAACAATCAACATTGTTGATTCAACAATAACGGTTCTGCAAAGTGCTGCCATCTCAAGTGTAAGCTGACTATTAGGATGGGTTTTACTGACAAACCGTTTTAGTTTATCTTTACATCTTTTTTGAAACAAATTAATTAGTTCGAGCGAAGCAAAGTTGAAGTTCAAATACAGCAAATTCATTCGTAAAACTTCATTGATGGCCTACACAAAAATAAGCATTCAGTCACGGTCTGTAAAAAAATAAGATCTCTTTTTGTTCAGACTCTGGTATCTTCAAGTCTTGCGAGGTTTCCGCTACTTCTAGTGGAATGGATGGACACAGTTTTCTTGTATTGGCCAACGGAACTTCATTACATTTCAATCGAATTAACAATCAACAATCGAATTAGCACAAGTCAACAAACTTTTTATACGCTCGCTCAGGCTATATCTCTTGATGGCTTGACTATTAGTATATCGATAGTTAGTCACTCAATATTATGCAGAGTGAACCCGAGTAGTTACACTCAAAGTGCATTGTCAGATACGGCTTCCCAATCATTTACAAAAAATGAAATATTATAATGGTAATTATGTTTGTATTACAAGAACTTTTGGAACTTAAATTAAATTGAATTAAATTTTAAAATGAAATCAATTCGGGAAAAATTAAGTTATTAGGGAAAGTAACTACTTTAAAGTGATGAGATGCCTTTTATGAGTGCGGTACTATATTAGGCTGTGAAAAATTTAGCTGCATTCGAGTTCAAGTGATTCTGTATTCGTGTTTATTGGTTTCTGTTTTGTAAGATTGTCTAGCTGATGTTCAGATCTTGATGAGGTTGTGTGCTATTCGCTCAGTGAAGTTAATCGGTAGCAAAACTAAAGATTTAGTTATGGCTGAATTTGATTCAATACAATTCTGGTTTAAGTGAGTGTTTTTGAAAAAAATCAACAATATTTGGCCTTCTCTTTGGACCATTTCACAATGAGTGCAACCAGTGTATTGCTGTTGTTGCTAAAAAGACACAATTTTCACATTTATACACAAATTGACACAACTGGCAACTGGCACAAAAACGGGCAAAAATCCATTTCATTCAAATTTAGACTCTGTTAGTTTGTAGGGACATAATTCCCGAACCACTTTGTGCTATTAAAAAATTTCTAAGATAAGAAGTTTTCGAGAAAATCGAGTTCGAAGTTGAAACTGCGATCGCCTTTTGTACAATAATAAAAGCAGATTTTTTCTTGAAATTCATTTCGCTGATGTAAATTTTGATGTTCAACCGGAAAATGCACTTATTTCGTGTAATAAAATTTCCTATTTTCTGCTCAATAGATAAGTTCGATTTTAAGTTAAACTGACCTTATTCAATGAGCATAAGATTTAGGGAACTGAAACTTATTGTTGGGCCATAAAAGTTGTTGGTAAAGATCATAGATCAAATACAATTTTCGATTTATCCACTGTTCTCTTGATTTTGACTATTTACCTAAAAACTTTTGACCTCAATATTTCGACAATGGTATCACCTACAATCATCATTCTTATGCCGAGCAATTCTTTGTTAATTAGTAAACCAAATCGATCTACTAAATTTTCATTAGCGCATTTGTATTATGATTTTTGGGTCGTAAATGTATGAAGAACAATCTTATTCAACAACTAAAACTCATTTCAACCCATTTCTTGGTAAATAAACCATTTTTCTGGTTAAACTTACAAACTTAATGCTAAATGTGCTGCAAAAAGCTCGAAAATTTGAGTAAAGAGTTGAGACTTGGTGGGTTTGTAGGGATAGAAAAACTAAGTTCATTAATACTTTTAAATAATTCATCCAATAAATCGTTCATGAGAAAATCGAGGTCAAAGTGAAAACTTCGATCTCCATTTGTTCAACTATGGAAGCATATTTTTTCCTAAAACTCATCCATCTTATGTAACTTTTGATGAGCAACCATAAAACGGTCTTATTTTTAGAAATAACATTTTCTGTTTTTGTAAAACAGATCAACTTCGATTTTCGATTAAACCGACCTTATTCAATGAGCATAAGAGTTAGAGAACTGAAACTTATTATTGGTGCATGAAAATTGTTCGAACACATCATGGATCGAATACTTTTTTCGATTCATCACTAGTTCTCTTGATTTTGGCCGTTGGACTTAAAACTTTTGACCTCAATATTTCGAGAATGGCATCACCTACAATAATCATTTTATCGCAAATTTAATTCTTTACTAACGAGTAATTCAATCCAATTTAAAAAATTATCATTAGCAAATTCGTACCTTGATTTTTGGGTCGTAACTGTATGAAGAACAAACTTATTCAACAAATAAAACTCATTTCAACTCATATCTTGGTAAATAAACCATTTTTCTGGTTAAACTTACAAACTTAATGCAAAAAGTACTGCAAAAAGCTCGAACATTTGAGTAAAGAGTTGAGACTTGGTGGGTTTGTAGGGACATAAAATCTGAGTCCGTTGGTGGTATTGAATAATTAGTCCGATGGTCAGTTTTCGTGGAAATCGAGATCAAAGTTGAAACTTTGATCACCTCTTGTTCAGCTTAAGAAGCAGACCTTTTCACGAAACTTATTTCACTAATGTTTCTTATGATGAACAACCAGAAAATGGTCTTATTTAGCGGAATAACATTTTCTTTTTCTGTAAAACCAATCAAGTTCGATTTTCAGTTAAATGAACCGATCTCTGTGATCGATGAAGTTAGAGATCTGAAACTTGTTATCTATCCATAAAAATTGTTTTTACACATCATAGATTGAACTTTTTTTTCAATTTATGAACAGTTCTCTTGCTTTTGGCCATTGGACTTAAAACTTTGAGCATCAATATTTAGAGAATGGCATCACCTAAAATCACTATTCTTTAGCCAAATATTAGATTTTGTAATAGACTATAACTTGATATGACTGGATACCAAGAAAATCTGAGTTGACTCATTTAATAATGAATATTCTTCCAACATAAAAGATTTTTGTTTGGTAACAATTCAACTTTATAAATCAAGTCTAAACATAAGTAACACAATGCACGTACTTTTCTGTGGGATCTTTAATAGTTTAATATTTCACTGTATTATAGCCCATAATGAAATCTAAAGTTTGATAAAAGAATAGTAATGTCAGGTCCTTCCATTCTCGAAATATTGAGGTCAAAAGTTTTAAGTCCAACGGCCAAAATCAAGAGAACTAGTGATGAATCGAAAAAAGTATTCGATCCATGATGTGTTCGAACAATTTTCATGCACCAATAATAAGTTTCAGTTCTCTAACTCTTATGCTCATTGAATAAGGTCGGTTTAATCGAAAATCGAAGTTGATCTGTTTTACAAAAACAGAAAATGTTATTTCTAAAAATAAGACCGTTTTATGGTTGCTCATCAAAAGTTACATAAGATGGATGAGTTTTAGGAAAAAATATGCTTCCATAGTTGAACAAATGGAGATCGAAGTTTTCACTTTGACCTCGATTTTCTCATGAACGATTTATTGGATGAATTATTTAAAAGTATTAATGAACTTAGTTTTTCTATCCCTACAAACCCACCAAGTCTCAACTCTTTACTCAAATGTTCGAGCTTTTTGCAGCACATTTAGCATTAAGTTTGTAAGTTAAACCAGAAAAATGGTTTATTTACCAGAAAATGGGTTGAAATGAGTTTTAATTGTTGAATGAGTTTGTTCTTCGTGCATTTACGACCCAAAAATCATATTACAAATGTGCTAATGAAAATTTATTAAATTGGATTGAATTACTAATTATAAAACATTACGTTGGCATAAGAATGATGATTGTAGGTGATATTATTCGCGAAATATTGAGGTCAAAAGTTTTATGTCCAATGTCCAAAAGCAAGAGAACTGATGATGAATCGAAAAAAGTATTCAATCCATGATTTGTACCAACAACTTTTATGGACGAATAATAAGTTTAAGATCTCTAACTCTCATGCTTATAGAATACGGTCGGTTTAACTAAAAATCGAACTTATCTGTTGGGCAGAAAATAGAAAATTTTATTTTACTAAATAACTGCATTTTCTGGTTGAATATTAAAAGCTACATCAGCGGCATGAATTTCATGAAAAAATCTGCTTTTATTATTGTACAAACAAAGATCGAAGTTTCAACTTTCAACTCGATTTTCTCGAAAACAATTGATCTGAGAAATTTTTGCATCGCACAAAGAGACTCAGCTTTCATGCTTCTACCAACCTACAGAGTCTAAACTTAAAAGAAGTTAATTTTTACCCGTTTTTGTCCATTTTTCTTTCAGTATTTTGTCAATTTATGTATAAATGTGACATTGTGTGATAATGTGAAATAATTGTGTCAATTGAAAATTAGAAATAGATTGTTAATTTTTTTAAGCAATGTTTTCATCTCATATTGATTTTATTAATGGAATTGAGTTATTTCTTCAATTTAAAGGACAACATAATTGGAGGTTAATGTTTGCGTTCGCTTTTATCATCTAAATGTTCTCATCTCGATTTACCGATCGTTTTCTGCGTTTAAACTCAATCATTAATATTATTTATCATGAGTTCGTCTTCAAACGTGATTTTAAACCGGTCAAGGGGTTATTCGCCTTTTTTCATAAATAAACTGTTATCAACTGTTGAAAAATTAAATAATTTTTACCTTGTAATGATGAATCTTCTGGTGACTTCTTCCGGGTTTATGCTCAAGATTCCTAGAAAGGTTGAATTATGAAACAAATGCATCACAGACAAGAAGAAAAGTGAGTAAATATTAATTTCCTTCTTCATGAGACTGTAAAGTCATCATCATTTAATATAATTTGTTTGCTTCTTCTATTCACCACAGTTGACCCCAAATCATAATTAACAATATAGATGATTAAATGAAGCCTCCCCCTAAATTGAACCAAAGATCAACTCAAAGCGAAAAATGTGAAACAAAACAAAGCGAAAAGCGTAAATGGTTAAACTATAAATATCAAGTAATTTACTGATCAATACACAGTTAATTGTCTAATCACATAGTAAATCAAACAAGTGTTCAACGTAAATCAAAAACAATGGTTTCAATAATCACTTTCACTTTAACCATCTTGGTAGCCAGTCTATCAATCCATTGTGATCCTTTACCATCAACACCTTCAGGAGATGCTGCTTCATCCAAACCCAAAATATCAACCGATCTGGTTCTCGATGCCTTTGAATTGTTTCGACGATTGCTCCAAGAATCTTCCGTAGTCCCTTCAGGTGCTGTTGGAGTCAATGGAAAGGAGAAGGAATCAGCCGATCATTCATCCTCAGTCCCAATCGGAGCCCACCATTATTCACCTCTTCTCCGTCTCGATCCCTTAATATTGTCTAAACCCATTGTCCATGAAGTCAGAGATGCTAAAAGTCCAACCACTGGTAAAATCGTGTTAACCCTGGAGAATGTACAATTCACTGGATTCTCTGATTTTAAAGTTGAACAAATCTCTAATGCTGGACCTTGTCTTAACTTCCAACACTTGATTCCTAAATTGAACACTTGTGCAAATTATACAGTCGATTATCATCTATTTGATTCAATTCCACTCAGAATCTCGGAAGGAGCTGTTAAGGCAACAATTCCTAAAGCCAAAATAGTTGGACGCTTCTTTGCTTTTGCCTCTGTTATCGGAGATTGGTCAAGAACATCACAGTTCAACTTGACTACCACTGTTGATGATGAAGTTGCTTTGATGGTTTCACCAACTTATACTATTTCCGATCGATTTGTTCTTGATTCAAGTATGGGACAGTTTGATGCTGCCATCAGATCATCTCTTCCTGAAGTCTCTGAGGCTCTGAGAAACGCTTACTCTAAAGTGATTGAAATGAAACTCAGTGATTAAAAAATGAAAAATTAATATCTTTCTCATTACCATCATCATAATTATTAAAGTAAACTTTAAATTACCATCAAAATTTTATGTTTTCTCTTTATTCAACTTGAAACTCATGAAAATAACCTCTTATGATGACAATCGATTGAGATGAAAAATATTTAAAACAAACAGTTAAACTCAAAGTTTATTATGAACATGTAAAGATCCAATTGGAATGATTTCCACTATTCTTCGTGTCTTGTGTTTCAGATAAGTATTACTCTTGTTTTGGACCAACAGTTATCATCTCGTTACCTTTTCCTCTAGGTACATCTGGGTTGACCAAAGGATCAAGTTCAGTTATTGATGATATAATGATGTCTATTGATCCTGAGATACTTCATAAGGAAGACAAACGTCCCATATTTGTCTCACCTTTCCTTTTTTAAGGTTAAACATTTTGTTTATTGTGCTTTTCATGTATATTGTTATCAAACATTTAGACTCTTAATGTCAGATGTTATTTCATATCATAAAGAATACACTGAATGATACAAATATACATAAAAGTCAGAGAAGGTAAAAAGGTAGAAGAAGATAATGTTGTGATAATATTCATTCATTTTTTGCCAGTCAACGTTTACAGAATTAGATTTTATGGATTGTGTCCTATTAATAATTAAAATAAAATTGTTATCTGGTTAATTAAGGTATTTCCCTGGACTGGTCATCACAGGACCTCAATCACATCCATCAATTATTATCATTATTACTTATGCATGAAAGATAAGCCCATTGGTCTGTAAAAGCCTTAAACTTTCAATGATAAAGTTCAATATACTCTGCATTACTTTATTATCAATTATAATTAATGAATCGATACATGACTAAATCACAATGGGATAATAACTCTTATTACTCTTAAACATATCTAAATATCCTTGATACAGAAAATATTTAGTCTCATTATGCATTTATTATGAGTTTATTACCCAAACCCAACCCAAAATGAGCTGTACATTCATCGATTTTTGTGTAATTTTACTGACTATACTTTTATGGACACGTCTTTTTGTTGATATTTGTGCTTTACATTTAAATACAAACAGATAAAACAAAATACATAAAGTCAGTCAGGAGTTTATTAATCAAAATTTTAAATAGGAATCAACATTTTTTGATTGTTTTCATTCCATCAGAAAGTGAATAAACAAATAAACTCGGCTAAATGAATGTAGGTAAAATTGGAAATCAAGTTTTCATTTCTATGCCTTGATATCTATTCTGATCATAGATCATTAATAAACCATTTAATTACAAGAGATAATTAAATTTTGAGAACTGTTACAATTTGTTGATTGTAACTCTTTTAGAGAGAAATAATGGAGAGATAACATTAACAGAATTGGGGTTAAATTGAGAGAAAGAGAAAGAAAAAAAACATTGTCAAGGTAACTCGAATCATTAAGATGGTAAATGTAGGTTAGATGGGGAATGAGATTTGTTTTCATATCTGGTGAGTTTCTTTTTTTAGATGAAATTTTCACTTTTTCCTTTTCGTTTAGATTTGCTTTGAAAAATAATTTATAGCAAAAAAGGATGATAATGGAGAGATGATGATGAAGATAAACAATATGGAGCAAGAGTTGTTTATTTATTTGTATCAGTGGATTTTAAATAACCTTTGAGTTGAAAATGAAAAATATAAACCATAAGGTTTATTTAATATGTAGTTGCAGTGGTTGTCTAATTATGGGTTTGAAGATGATGCATCTCGAGGAAGATGAACACCCATAAGAGAGAGTAAATTGGATCCTGGTCCAGGCAAACCATTTTGACTATCAAAAGATTCCAATATGTTTTTTAAGGCAGTTAATTCTGGATCAACGGGCGGAAGGGTTGCATCTTTATTATCACTTTTAACATTATCAATATCACTTTCACCGTCCAGGTCTATATCTTCATCGCAGCTTGCCAAAGGAGGGGCAACTTTGGTTGCGTTCAACGGTTTTCTTTCAAAGCTTTTACCAACTTCAGTTTCATCCAATTCTCTGTCCATAGCTTCCATGTAATGTTTGACTTCCTTCGCATAATCCACCGGTTCAGAGTTATTTTTATCCTTCTTTCTTTTGGTCAGCTTTTTAGTTTTACCCAGACGCTTTGTTGGTGTAATTTCACTATGATGTATACGCATAACACCCTTTTCATCTTCATCGCTCTCAAAACTATCATCTTCATCGGGTGCACTTTCCATCTCATAATCTGACATGCCAGATGATGATGAGCTTGATTCGGTTGAAGGCAATTTAAATGAGAGAATGTTTTTAAGAGCATCAACAAACTTGTCTTCATCAAATTCAACTGGTTTACCATTCTTTTTGGAATCTCCATTGGATTTCCATTTTAAATCTTCGCGTGAACTGGGAACTTCAGCACCTTCGATTCCCGAATCGTCGTAGTTGATAAATGATTTGAAAACTTCAGGAATAGCTGTAGCAAGATTTTCATTAAGATCTTTACCATTAGAAAATTGTTTGATTAGAATATCATCCAACTTTGCTTGGTCAAGATTCATCCATTCATCACTATCTTCCTTATCCAAGCAATTTTCTTCTCGTTTCAAGCGATCGAGATCAACTGATACCGTATTTAGTAGCTTGAGAATTTTTTGCCCAATTTCTTCTTCAGTGGTCATTGAATCCTGAGAAAAGTCCATTGATGAACGATAAAAGTCATAAGCTTTATAAAGTAAGTCTCTGTACTTTTTAGAGCCTTGTAAATTCCCTTTAAAGTAACCTTTATCTTCCAAACTTTTTACCATGGTAAGCCAACGTTTCTCATTGCAATTTTCATAAGTAACATTGGTTGATGTTTTGTCTCCAGCATTAAATGTTGTACCTCGATTTGCTAGAATCTCAAAACCACAGGCAATTTTCACACCTAAATCATAAGATTTGAATAACGGTGAATCCTTGGGAGGTAGATTCCATCCTACTTTTGGATCGGGTTGAAATTTTTGACTGATTGCTTGAGCATATAGACATTTGGTGAAAGTGACATTTCGTTTGACCCGATTTTCCGGAGGAAAATATTTCATTGATCTACAAGCTTTTAGATCGATTGCATCACGATGATAAAATGCTCTTATAGCCCATGTTATTAAATTTGGTTGATGATTGAGAAGTGCAGCTACACCTGCTGGAATAAAACAATGAGCATGATGTTTCTGGCCATTTATCTGTTCTGGAAATATGCTTATTCGTTTGCGAATAGAGTATTGAATTTTTTCACTGCATTTAGTCTTTTTGGTCTCATCTCGAATAATGGAGAGCGCTTGGGTTATTTGTATTGGTGAATAATCATCGCTGTCTTTGGGAAAGGGAACTATGCTGGGTGGGATTAAGTGCACTTCACCGTTAAAAATGAATACTCGATTTTCAGTAGTTTCTGGATCAGCCCAGCCTGGTAAGTAGTCAGCAGCTTCAATCAGTAAAAATTGTCCATCCGAGTCTTCAACACTAACAACAAGACGAGAGTCCAATTGAGTTAGTTTTATTAGCAAATATACGATAAACCACTCATCTTCAACATTATCCTCAAAACATGTAGTCCCTTCGACATATGCAACTAATGAGGAAGATAATTAACAAGGAAATTAAAAAAACACCAAAACAGTTATGAATCGATATAATCGAAAGAGAAAAAAAATAATGTTTAACTAATCATAGTAGGAGTTGAACATCAGAGATACAATGAACAATGAACAAACCTTGATTAGACGAGGTATTAGTCGAATGTAAATTAAATTCTTCAAAATGCCAAATATAATCCTTGAGGAAATCACTCAATTTATTGAAACAATCTAAAGTATAGTCTTTGAGATGATCACCATGAGTCGATTTATCACTGAGTAAACTTAAATCGGGATAAAGACGATAATGGACGGTATTTTCTTTCAGAATAACTTGATTATTTGTAGCCATCGATAGAGAGAAAAAGTTATCGCTGATGGTAATTTGTAATAAAATAGATTAACGATGAAAGGGAAAAAAACCGTAAGAAATGAGTCGTAAGATTGTAAGGTTTTTGCAGTGGTGAAAATGCAGGATTTATGGTGGTGATTATTATATGATGGAAATAACAAAGTTGATAGCGAACGTGATTAAGAAAATGAACAAAAAATAAATTGCAACTCCATATCGCTGTACAGAAATGGTTGAGAAAAGACTAAACAAGACACTGAAAATCCATATGACTATTTGAAATTAGTGAGTTGAAAACAACACGCCTATTTGACAGGAAAAATAACGCCATCTAATGTAAGATTGCCTCAGATTCTTGAAATTTTTTTTTCTCTTGTAAGAGTATCCTTTTGTTGATATTTTATTGTTTTGGTGATTATCGTGTTTAATTTTATGATTTATCAACAGTTAATTTATTACTGTGCCAACAACTGTTGCTTCAACTGCTTAATAATTTAAAAATAATCAGTTTTACTTTCATAGGTTGATGTATCCTCATCTTTTGTTTACATTTGATGTTTTGTTTAAAGCATTTTTCATCGATAATCTCACCTGTCATGGCTATTGTTGATAAAAATCAGGGTAAGAAAAGGGAAAGACAAGGTAAAGAGCGCAGGATTTATAAAAATAAAAAGTTGATGGAGGGAGAAAAAGAGTAAAGAAAAAGAATGAAGATGATGATGAAGAAAGTAGACTAGGGAGATAAAATAAAGGGGAAACTGAGTTAACTTTGGGCCATCAAGGCAGTTTACCAGAACATACTATAGTTACTGATAAATTTGACCATGAACTTGAAAAAAGTATATCATAATGTATTACTATTATGGGTTAAAAGAGTATTGAGAAAAGCAAAAATCAAATAAGCAAATTGTATCAATTCAAGGTTATGTAGACTCAACTCCTTTCCTTCAATTATATGAGCCAGAAATTATTTGAATAATCATAAATAACCGAAATGATGGTGAAAAAAGCTTATAGATTGAGTGATTTGAGCAACAAGAAACTTGGTGTAAAGACATGTTATGAGGGTCACAGTGGCGAAAGGTCAACGAAATTGTTAATAGTTGCCGAATGTTAGGTAAAATTATCTAATAAATTGACAATAAACATGTTGATCTCTTTTTTTCCAAGATTTATTTTCTTTGTTTACTACCAAATCAGGCAAAAATAACAATATATAAGATGACAGTAAATGGTTGAGAATGTCCTCCGGTTGACTGGACAAAGAAAGTGAGGAGAAGATTTATTTTCAAGATGTCTTTTGATCTCTTTTCTTATATCTTATGTTATCTTGTTGAGTCTTTTATAAATTTAAATTTCAAATCTTCATGTTGAAGATGCCTGTTGTTTGGGTAAACCAGATTTTGAAAGCTAACTATTGAGTTTTAGACTCATTCCTTTGTTTGAATTTCTTCCAGCTCCATCCACGGTAAATGTTGAGGTTGATGTTGTACTATTGAATCGCTGGTATTAAATGAATTAGTGTGATTAACATGGCGGTGAAGATGATGATGACTGTATTGGTGTTGAGGAATAGCAATTCCATGATGATGAGAATGATATTGATGATGGTTGTTGTTGTTGTTGTTATTGTTGTTAGTGGTGACGGTAATATTATTGTCATTGTTTAGGCTTGAATTAACATTGATACTGTTGTTGTTTTTACCAACTTCCGAAGAGGTAGATAATTTAGAGAAGGCTAACAAGGTTTCCGGAAAATTAGGTGGTGTTGCTGGTGTATTGGCTGGCGTTGAGAGAGGGTTAAATCGTCCATTCTGATGAAATCCTGGAATCGGCGTTTCTTGAAAAAAGACGCTTAAAGCTTGTTGAAATTGCCAATTATTATTATTGAGCAATTGTTTAGCTTGATCATGACTACATCCTGCAACCAAGACAAACTGATTAATCATTACTTGTTCTCGAAGAGTATCCATCTCGAGATGTCAACTGGTAATCTCCAATGATAAGTCTCCGTTTTGATTACAATTAAATAAATATATGTATTTATATAGAATTGAATAATTAGATGTATAAATATATGTTTTGTTAAAAAAACAGTTGAATAAAGCGAGAAACAAGAGGCAGACAAGGAAAACACAATTGTAAACACAACAAAACAAAATATGTAACCAACTAAATGTTATGCTTAGAGTATCACTATTTAACAGTAATATAATTTTCTTTGTTGTTTTTTAATTGTTGATCCTTAAATTTTACAAGATTACAGCCAAAAAATGTACGTTCATAATGTTGTTGTTGATGTTGATAAAAAAACTCAGCCGTGTGTCCAAGAGCGACACTAAATTAGACAGAGAGATGAAAGGAAACATCAACCAAGTTTGTTTATTTTCTTGTTTACCAACAATGTATGAATGTGCATTAACAGTATAACATGTTCATAAGATGGAAGCACATTATTATCCAATTTATCCAATTTTTAGCGGCGCCCTAAAAACTGCTGTTAAAAGCCTATCAAAAGCTATTAATAAAAAAATCAAATACCAATTACAAGTTTTGTTATCATGTTTTGAATCTCTAAATGCTCTCCTACTCCATTTAAATTGTCAATTGTTTGAAATTGTTTATGATTTGATTGATTAATATGAAAAGTTAACGTTTTGTAAGTTTAGACGTTTTCACCTCTTTAGTCTCTAAATTGTATCAAATCATCTGCTTAGGAACTGTGATTCAATTGCAACAAAGACTTTATACATTTCCACTGAGCGGAAATTTCGTCATGGTTATACCAAGTTTCATATTCCACTTTCAAGGTTAGATGATAGTTTTCTAGTCAGCAATTCAATTACATTCACTGCCTTTCAAAGCCTCTAAAGCCTTAAAAGATGTCCAATCGAGGTAATAGCTGTTTATCACTATCTACTGAACAAGTTGTTTTCATGATTTTCATGTTAATATTCAGACTGACTTATGATCACTAATTGACTTTACGAGTTTTCTGTTTATCTTACATCTGTATTTGAATAAATTACGTTAAAATTGGTCATGAAATAAATTGAATGATTTTCATTAAAACCGGGACATTTAAAGACCGATTGAAAATAAATGAGACATTTTGAAAGTGAATAAGAGGCTGAAGTGTATTCCTGTTTTAATTATTATTAATATTTAACAAAAGTTCTGACAAAATAAGACATGATGAGATAATTTTGAGTAATTTAATTTTTTATATTCACCTGATAGCAACATTCGCATTTTGGTTACTTTGAATTTGCCGGTTCTATAAATGATTGGTTCTTCATTCATTGTTGACAAACTCAAGATCATCAAAACACAAATGTTTCTTTCTCGTTATTAAATTTAACTTTGTACTGTTTAATTGTTAATAAGTTTTTTTGTAATTTCATATAATCCAGTTATCGAAGATGCCAGAAGCATCAGCTAAATCAAATGTTGTCAATGAGGAAACGCAAGTCGATCTATTCAGGGACACACCAGTACGTTTAATGGGTAAATATTTTACAATTGATTGTTACTGAATAACATTTGGTTTATCCCAATCCTCATCCTTTTAATCTATATTTTTCAATTACCTCCTCCTTGCCATTCCGTATTTTGATTTTTACATCCATCACCTTCATGTTCTTATCTAAACTCTGATTTCTTTTATTTATCTCTTTTTGTCACCTTCAATGTTTAGGTTATGCCAATGAGTGTGGTGAATCGTTTAGAGCGTTGATTCACGTTAATTGGGTCAGATTGTCTTATGCAGTTGCCTCTGGTTACGTAGTTGCTGATACTGTGGATAAATGTTACAAACAATCAAAGGTGGTGATAACAGATTATTCATTTTAATCAATGTGATACTTAATTAACGTTTAATTTCCTCCATCTTATCATCTGTTTACTTATTTTACATCACTGTAGCTCAATTATCATTTGTTTTTTTCTGTTTTTCATTGCTTTTATTCAGTTACCCTTTGAAAACGAGTCAACAAAAAGGCGTAAAGTATTGAAGACTCTTGTTGATACTATGGTTTGGCAAAGTTTAGCTTCAGTTATCATTCCAGGTTGGAATTTTCCTTTCATTTTCCTTTCAAAGAGCATCGATAATTACCATAATTACCATTACAATAACGATGTTAATACATTAATGTTTGGATCTATACTTTTCATTCTCTCTGCAATCGATAGATTGTTGAAGGATGAATATGAATCAGGGTTGTTCACCTCCACCATGAACTTTACCTTGAAAGTCTCAAGCTCAAGTCTAGGTTGACCAATACCAAAATTATTTTTCATTTATGATTTCGTTATGGTTTTTGTCGGATGATTAAAATGTGGCGAAGCTTAAATTTCGAGTTGAGGTTGCAAGCTAATGAACTTTTATGGACATGAGAACTGAAACCTTAAAAACTTCTTTGATTGAAGGATTTTGATTCGCTTTCTAAGTTCAAACTTCGATTGCATTTGTCCAGTTGTAGAACCAGATTTTATTTTATTTTTGAGACCAAAGAAATTTTCTATCAGCCATGATAGCTGCAGCCTTTGATTAATGCATATTAATCTCACACAATTATACGGTTATATGAGGGTTCCAGCCTTCAAATTATTTATTTCAGTCCCTTTGGTTCTTTTTTATGTTTAAATCAATATCAGGTTCATAGAACTGAATTATTCAATGGAAATAATGGAAATATTAACAGCTAGAGCGATGATTCACAAGGAACATTTACCTTATTATTATCCATCATTACTTATTTTTACTTTCATTATAAGTACAGTGTAACAAATTTTGGTTCATAACAACCGTGGTAATGCATGGTAATGAGGAAAACAAACCAACAGTTTATGATTACATGTTTACGGAGAGACTTTCAATTCCGATTATGTTGGTCTGATCTCATAATGATTAACATCTTTATTGTTATTGTTATTAATACTAATGTTAACTTAGGATGTAATTGTGTTCATTTATAAACAATTATGTTCCAATGAAAAACGATTTTGTATTTAATTTCCTTTCCTTGATAAGTTAGACTTGTCATAAATGTAAGTTGCTAGGTAAACATGATTGTCTTAAATGATTTGAATGGTTATTTAATGAATTGAAGGATTGTTAACTCAATTATCATTGATTTATTTGTTTTGTGATTGCATTTGATTTCACCTTTTTCCTGAACTTGACAAGTCAAAATGAGTTGAAAGTAAACCAAAAATCATTATCAATGTAAGTTAAATTGTCGATACATTTAATGTTAATGGTAGAAGTTTCTTTAGCTTGATTATCAATCCTTGATTAATTGGTTCCAATGATCAGTTAAAAGACATTTGTTGTCAATAGCCTTGTTTAGTCGATTAACTGCTGAATGGTTGGCAACAAAGTGAAACTGAATAAAGCAAAATTAAATAATATGTTGGGATAGTTGTGATTAAGCCCATGCTGATTGGGATGATGTTGATTAATTTGAAACAAATCATTTCTTTCACATGAATGACTAGTTTTATTGTGAATCGTTACATATGAGTTTGTTTGTAAACCTTTGCCTGATCATCACTATAATCATCATCTTAATCAAATCTGTCAAGCTTTTTTTAAATCCATCAACATCAAATAGAAATGTTTATTCAAAGTTGAATCGAAACTGAAAACTTGAAGGAATTCAGTCAACTATGAAATCATCTTGTTTCATCAGTTTCAACCCCTTAACCCGAGAATCTTGTTTACATGTTTCGTTGTCATTCATTTGATAGAATTGAAAAGAACCTTGAAAAAGATTAAACTTGAATACATTATTAATACTTTAACTGATTGTTTAATCATCCTTTAATATAATTTGATATGGAAAGTTAACAGATATAGCTTGACAATGATATTGGTTAACAATATTTCTAATTCATTTGATGCACAAAATAATATCTTTTCAGCGTGCATCTCAGTTTTTCCCCGTTTCTTTTCACTGTTTTAACCCTATTTTAATCATATTTTTCTCGTTTTTATCTCTAGGTTTTACAATCAATCGAATCTGCGTTGTTTCATTGATCATTTTAACTCGCCATTCGCACCTACAGCGACAGAGAGCTAAGTGGGCAACTGTTTTCATTGGGCTTGGATCCATTCCTTTCATTGTAATTATTTGGTTCCAATTGACGGTCATACTTTAGCTTCTTATTCATAGGATTCAATCAAATATCATTTTCTGAAATCATTCGTTACTGTCGGATAGTCAGACTTTAAGTTGACAGAATCAAATCTTAAAAATTGATTTTATTCTGAATTCAATTGCACTATCGCTATTTTAGGAAATTAATTGTAGACATAAAACGTGATGAAGCTATTATTATGAAGCTCAATGGAATAATTCACATTATTTTTTCAATCTAGTCTCTTGTTCATCCTTTACTGTGATGATAGAGTCTGATTAATCCTAAATATAAAATGATTCAGAAGTAATCAGTTGAAATTTTCTATGTTTTTAGCTAAAAGTTTGTCCTATTGTTTTGATTTTATTAATATTTTTGTCTAATTTTTGTTTTTTTGTTGTTTCAGGTTAAACCAATTGATAATTTGGTTGATTATTTTATGGATTCATTCTTCAGGAAATATATTATGCCCTAAATGCTCTGAACTCGCATGCCACCAAAGAACACTCAAAAACTATTGCTCAGGATTATAATGCTCACTAGATGGAAACAATCATTTGATGATCTCCACAAAAAATAGACATGATGGCCTTAGACCTATGCAAGCCAATTTCAACTAAACTCTTATTTACATCTTGAACTTTAATGTCTACCAGTTAGCTTTTTCATTCAAGTTATTCTAGAATCAAACTGAAGATGATGAAGTTTCAATCAATTTGATTTGAAATATCATTTAGGTGATGTAAATAATTTTTAAAATTATGCAAGTAGTTGCATGTACATGCAGAGATAGTGTATTTGCAGAGATGAAGGGAGAGACTTTAAAAGTGCCATTGCTACCTGAAAATTTCTAGTTTCACCTTTTATCATACAAACCACTCCAAATATCTCACAACATGGAATAAGTTGAGTAATAGCGGCCTCGGTCATCACCACCAACACTTCTGGTCATTTCATTTAAATCATCTCAATCTTCCTCCTGATCCAATGTAACCTCTTCAAAACAATAAGAAGCTCATGCAGTTTACACGGTTGTCCAGATTCCTTGATAGCATGTTAAATCATAGGAACAATTGGTGGAAATTTTTTACACTTGCAACAGTAAAAAGTTAATGACCGAAAGACCGTTCTGATGATTCATGGAGCTCATAAAGTCAACCTGATAAAGACTAAAACTAATGAACAAAAGGCCAACATTTAAGGTTTACCACTTTGGTTTCAGGAAGTTCAACTTTTCCAAATTTTCATGCAAATTTTCGGTTTTTCATGTCAAATGATGATATTAATTTTGATTCAAAAAGTAAAGTTAAATTTGAAACATCTGAAAATATTGAAACTCGAAGTGATATTACTTATTCTGGAATCTGGTAAACATAATCTTTTTGCCGATATAATCGAAGCTCAAACCTAATGAAAATCGAAGTGAATTTTTGGTGTCTCACAATTTTTCAATTATCAGCTATTATAATATATCGTATTGAAGTTCACTGTTTACCAGAAAATAATTGTTGCCTTATTAGTTAACATGTAACACTAATTACTTCAGCAGCTAACTGAATTAACTTTAAACCAGTCAACCCATTTAACCTTTCATGTTGCTCATTACTTAATTTTGATAATTGGTCAAATTAACGTTACCTTCAACGATAAATAGTCAATTTCAAGTGTCCTTCTGAATTGAAAATCTAAATTTGATTCTCAATGTTAATGCAGTTTTAAATCAACCCAAGTCTTTAGCCGTAACCTTTCAATGCTTTTCCCACTTATAAGCATTTATTTTTAAAATGAAAGGTTAAAGTAGTAAGTAAACAAAACAATATTAAAGATGATTCAAAATTTAACAGGTAAGTTTTTGTTTAATTAGAAAGCCTTTCTAAGTAAACTACAATAAACAATATTTACTAGGAATAAACTATACAAATACATGTAAATCAACATGAAATTTATGGAACTTAATGTTTTTGTTCAGTATCTCACACTAATATTAGGTCATTCAATAATTTCGCGTGAAAACTTACCGAATATCGAATCGTAATTAATTTCTTGAGTACCTAAAGACATGGCATTTACTCAAATCAAGGTTGAATTTGATTCTGGTTTCGGGTTTGGTATTGTGAAAGATACTATCGAAAAATGGTCACACAAATCAGCAGTCGTAATCAAAGCAATCAATTGGAATCAGTGGTGATGCCGTTAAAGAGCCTGGACTGAAAAAAATTCGCGATTTTCAATTTCTACTTGAATGTAGTCTTAATATCTCGTAAGATGAACGTTTTAAAATGGCCTGTTTGACCAAACATCATTTTTGCTCGCAATCATTGAACCTAATAGTTCAACTATTATACAAAAAGATGTCTTGTAGACATTGATTGGGAATTTGATTATTTTAACCAAAAGATGAACCCGTTCTGGCTTTAAAATCATAGATGCTAGTCTAGTTCAGCCAAGACAGTCAGCAAATGAATTATTTCTTAATTGTTCAATTAGAAATTAGAAATTCATATTCTTCAATACGAAATGTGTAACAATCAAATAAAGTCAATTATGTAGTGGTTTATTTAAAATACATTTTAATGCTTGAAACCTTTACATTGTACATTCATTGTGGAGACACGTTTAACATAAAAAATATATGTATTATAAATAGAGCCAAAAATGGATTTAGTTCATTTAAAAAATGATTGAGAGTTTTTATGAAATGATTTATATAATCTGTTGAATATATTTAATAATAGGTTTAATTACTCGATTGATTAACCTTCAAAATAGTATTATAAACTGATCAATTCAAAGGTACATTTGTTGATTGTAATACAAGCTGAAAATAGAGATGAAATGTTTTGTCACACATTTAATTGTAGCTTTACAGTTTCATCTATTCATTGTCAGCTTCATATTTTAATGGAAACTATAATATTTAAAATTCATGATGAAAAAACAGTAATTTAGTAGCTAATAGCTTTAAAATTGTTGACTTTCATGCCTGTTGAATGAAGTGTTTGATGAACTTCTTGTTAATTTCATTCCATTATGAAATTCAAGTTTTTACCCAACCATGTAAAATCATGTTCAGCCCAATCTTCAATAATAAAATTGATAGTTCACCAAACATTTTCCCGTTTATCAATCAAGGTGATCCAATGATTATTGTAAAAACCACATTCTTATTACGTGCATTCAAATACTTCAGTTGGGTCAATTAAGGAAACCCAAGTGAAAAACATTGGTTTATGTCAATAATTTCATTTGTAAGGTACAATTGTAATTAAATAATTCACTCAATAGTGTGAACTCAATAATGTTAATAATTATGATTAGCAACTGAGTCAGTTATTACACACTGGTCTCATCCTTTGTCATCCTGATCCAACCAGGCACTTGATCCCATTAGACTATTTGTTTTTGTCCGAATCAATATTGAAGCAGCTGTATGAATGTCGATAATAATTTCATTATTTCCAGAAAAACGGTAAAATCAAGATGAAATAATATCTAATTGGGAGCGAAAATTGGAAGCTCATTTTTTTGTATTGTCCAAATCAAACAAGCCATCTCTTTTGCACATCAATATGATCAACAAGCATTTCAGTGATTACACACTGAATCAAAATAACAGTCTAACAATAAAGAATAGCACAATTTTCGCCCTTCTCTGGCAAAGTGTGTTTGCATTTGTCCCATCTAATTTAAAACCTAACCCTGACCTAATACACAAACTATAGCTGTTGATGGTTAATGGCGGCGTTTGTGATACCGTTACTGGCATCATTATTACCAGAACAATTAACTTTTAACAAAAGTCGATGAATGAACTCATTGTTGATAGGAATCAGCAAATGTAAACCCAAAGTCCTTTTGATGGTGTTTAAAGAGTGAATGTTGAAGAGATGTTGCCTTCTAGAGGTCCACACAAAAAGGGAAACATTTTCGCGGTTAAACATGTCAGCTTTCAATGAGACTTTCTTTCACTTTTTACAGGTAAGAATCAGATGAAGATGGAGATGAAGAGATGATTCTATTGAAGATAATGATCATGTTGATCATGATGATAGAATAGGAGGAGAGTAAGACGAGAGACTGAGAGAGTTAAACACTTGAACAGAAGAAACAAAAACTTGATACCAAAATAGTTAAACGTTAAACCAGTTTGTTACCGACTGAACTCTGATTAATGCTGTTGCACATTTTTTCCCCTCTTTTCTTCCTTATCTAACTTGTTATCTTCTGATTACAGTTTATAACAAACAGAAGCAAATCTAACCTTTGACTTGTTCACTTGTTGTCACAGTTAGTCACTGTCGGCTAAAAAATCTGGTTAACCGTTGCTGATGTTTTATGCTTTGTTTCAATTTGTTACTCCTTTTTGTTTCAACTTTTTTTTCACCAGCATCATAATCGTCTTCAGTTTTCATCAGACAGGAACCCTGTCTTTAGTGCCTTTTGATTCTGTCCATGAAATACAACAGAAGAAAAAATAAACATAACCATGATCAACTCTATCTGTAAATTTAACCTCATCTGTCTCTCTAGCCATCAACAATAATATCAACTTTCAATTACTGTCAAACAATCTTATGCTGTGTGTTCCTACGTTTTTTAAGTATAATTTTACCACCAAATCATCATCATATCTAGTCACCTTGCATCATTTACTAATCATCATTGATTTATTTATTCTTGTGCTTGCAATTTTACACCCAATTGCTTCTATTGTTTAATTGTTATACAGTTAAATTATTGAATCTCACTCAAGACTCAACTCTTGCCAAGTTAAACATTTTCATCTGACCATGAATTACAATCATCTTGCTACCCTGATTATTTTAATTTATTTGCACAAAGCTTCATCCTTATGTAAGTAAAATCTCAGCTATTGTAATTCAAATTTCATTTATAAATGAATAATTTTCACTGTCACAAGCTATTTACACCATTAGATGTCCTTCCAAAGGCAACATCAACTTGATTTTTTCGGATAATTGCTAATCAACTTATTGCATGTACATGTAAATTGTTTAACCAAAACTTATCAATTCATATCACACAAGTTTTCCGCTGTTTTATTCATATTGCTATTTAATGGCAGTTTAAGCTGTTATTATTAACCTGATGTGAAAGTTACTTTGAATCGCTAGACTTTTTTACCTATTTTTTATATCAGTTAGATCACACTGTCAATCGATTTAATTGACTCTACAAAGAGCAGAACAAGGTTAATTTAGATTAACTCTTTTAATCATTACAAGTAATCGGATGCATACTAGTTGTATTACATTATATTAAATTACTTTCGATGAAAAGACTGTCAACAAGCAAGAGAACAATCTTCAACTTGACAGTTTATCCATCAGTGTATTAGCGAATCATGGCTTACATCAAATTAAAGTAACCTTGCTTAATTGTTAATCGTAACCTTGCTTGTCCCTGTTCACTCTATGATGTGTGTGATTGTTCATGTTTTCACATTAAATTGATTAGATTGGAACAGTTTATTTCACTCGATTTTAGTATCAGTCAATTTTTTTTAACTTTATTCAAACTTGGTCACACCATGTTTCAAGGTTAATCCGTTTTGTTTTTCAACGCAAGGGTCAGTTTCTTAATCACCTTTCTGATATTTGAAGTGTAAAAATGATTGCTCTTTAACATCAACGCGTAAAATTAAGGTTAACCGGAAAAATATTTGTAAACAATTTGAACAAATATTGACCATTAAATTAGCTACTTTCGGATGTTTGAGTCGCAACCAATTCTCATTAGTTAATCAATTTGTTTTTAATTACTTTTTGACCTTCTAATGATATATATCTTTTCACTTTACAGATCCAGCTGATCGTTGGTACTTTCCTTTTAATCCACCCGATAATAGTTTGGGTGATTCAATTGCCAGTTCATCAGAAAGCGAATCATCAACACAAGCAACTGATTATATTCGGAACAGTGAACTTGTAAGATTTGTAGACTACTCATCAACCCTTGGATCACCTTTAGCGTCACTTTCCTCATTAACACCTCTGATTATCGATCAATCAGCCAAAAGAGAGGCACCTCGAAATGGTACATTAGCTTATTCCGCGGCTAAATCAATTATCTGTGATGAAGATACTGTTGAATCATTATTTTCCCTGATCTCACTTGTTCGTCACCATGAAAATGAAAAGTCAAAGGAAACAGCACGACATCGAATAATGGGACACTTTTGGAAGTATGGCTTAGAAACTTATGCTCAAAAGTTTACAACCAGATCAGGTTTGAATGGAGTTAATCTTATTGGCATTTGGCCAGGTAAAAATCGCAACAAAACTGGTGACTCGATAGTTTTGCTGGGTGGTCATTATGATACCGTTAAGGGAACCCAAGGCATTGACGACAATGGTTCTGGAATCGTAGCTTTGCTTGAGATTGTCCGACTCATTGGAGAAACTAAACCTTCACTCGATCATTCCATATTCTTTGTGGCCTTTGATTTTGAAGAATCGGTACGATAATAGATCTCTATAATTATATGTTGATAACTGATAATTTGCTCTATCTTTTTGTTTTTAGGGACTTTGGGGAAGTAAAGCCTTTGTGTCTGAATATTTAATTCCCAACGAGTTGCTGGGAAAAAGAGTCGACTTTTTAGGAGCATATATTATTGATATGATACTTACCTGGGACCCAACCGAAGGCAGCCAAAGTTTCAGTGATGATTTTAGAAAGGTATGCTTTTTAAAATTTTATTATATTTTATAAAAGACTAGTTATTCGTATGGTGACAACCTAATCAAATTTTCACTATAAATATAAAAGAAAAGTTTAGAATACTGGAGAAAGAAAACGTTTGACTTAATAATAGTCTATTTATCTTAAGCCGTGTTTTAGTCAGGATGTTTCTTTTCAAAAATGCTTCAATGCTCCTTTTCATCTTTTTACCAGGAAACCCCAGAAGCTGTGGCCAAAGTGCGTAAAAATAAAAACCGAGGAGACTTTGCATCAATCTGGATGAGACGAGGTTATGACAAATCCATCTGGGAACCGTTAGAGAAATCATGGAACCGATTCACCAACAGCACAAAATACAAACTTATCGCTTTTGATCCCAATTTACCAGATAAAATGTTTATGCGTAAAAAAGATATTCGAGAATCTGCTCAAACATTTCTACGCTCGGACCACTCATCCTTTTGGTATCACGGCAGTCGTAAGATTCGCCCTTTAAACGCTCTTCTAATCACCGATCTTGGTAAGTTATCGCTAATTTTGCAATAAGATATTCAATTCAAAAACGAACACCTTTCAATCAATAATCAATCTTAAGATGATTATTTCCATTATTACAACTAGATTTACTAACCTTGGGGAAACTTTCAGTCAATTATTCCCGTTTATTAGTTACTTTTGTTATTCGAGTCTATTTTTTCAATTTGAAATACCATGAAAAAGCTCACAATAAAACAATTTCCTCAGCTTTATGCAAGTTTTCAAGAAAATAAATAGTTTAAGGTATTTAGTGTTTTTTATTGTAACAAAAACATCAATTTGAAAGCTATTAATAGTGCAATGACGAAGATGGTTTAAAATTTTAAATAAAAATGTTAGATTATTCAATAAAAACTGAAATGTATGCCAAACATATAATTTCATATTTTTTGTTTATTGAGCTTGTTTAATGACCCAAATGATTGGCCGTTTTAACATTTCTTACACGATACACTTTTAATAATTTATTCATTTCTCTTTTCTTTTCCCAATTTTCAGGACCATGGAGAGGCTATCAAAAATCGTGTTATCATAAAGCATGCGATGACTTAAGCCAGATAACTCGAGAAAAGCTGGGCTTTGTTGTCCACATAATTTTAACTCTCCATGATATTGTGACAGTTAACCCACCCACAATTTTAAATGTTAATAAAAGAGAGCCTTCCAGCCCTATACCAAGAAAATGGACTGGCACACCGTTAAATTGGCCAACAGCTAGACGAACTCCAATAGGATTTGATGGACCATATAACATTGGTAATCGTGGAGTGGTTGATATTGGCCTAAACAATTGGTTATCTGGAGCAACTGATCCACGTTTTCAGACCAACGACTATCGACCATCAACCTGGACAAACAATAAATATCCTAAATCATGGCCAACTAGATCTTCAACCTCAGGCTCACCCTCATCCACATCATCATCGCCTCCATCTTTATTTTCTTATGATGTTAGTGACTTCAATTCAAGGACGCTATCCAATCCATGGTATACACTGAATAATAGACGATCTAATTATTAGAAGTAACAGAATGCTATTATTTTTAAACAAATTTATATTCAATTTAATTTACCAGACGTGATATTAAAAAAGTAAAATTTTTATTTCTTGAAATGCTCCATTAATTACTGTGAGATGCAACTAATGAGCATTCAAACTGTTAAGTTACTAGAAATTTTGGTTCAATTGATTATAATTAGAAACAATGTACGAAATCAAATAGTTTAATTGGTGTTAAAATGAGTGTCGTAAAAAATATTTAACTAGTTGGTTTCAAAAATCAAAAAAAGTTACAGATTGAAAAATCTAAAATGTGTAATTTAAAAAAATATTGGTTACTTTGTCTGGATCAAACTTGCAACAATCATCATACAGGTAAATGTTATGATAATGAACAATTGACAGTTGGCAACTATTGGTAATTTAAACTGTTATTTAGAAAGGTCAACTGTTTGTGTTTAATTCATGGTAAAATGGACCTTGAGTTAATCTTGATTTGTAAACGATTTTCCTCAATTCATTGGAGTGATCATTTGATGGCACTGGTTTTGAAAGTGAATCAATCTGCGATAGAATTGATTCTTGTTGAACCATTATTGTCCTTTTCAACTGGTCAATCTCATTTTCAAGGGCACTTTGTTTGGCAGAAAGAGATGCAATTAAATTGCTGTTATGATTCATCCGTCTTAAAGCCTCACTTGGTCTGTTATTAAATTTTAATTGATCACTATTTCTAGACGGTCGTTCACCTCCATTAATGTATCGTTTGAATTCTTCTTCAGATAAGTTGAGAGATTCACCATTGAGCTTCTCAATGAATGCAACTGCACAGCACAAATTTGTAAAATAGTAACTTGCTTCTCCTGAAGCTAAGCGATTAGGTGATGAAAATTCATTTATAAATCTGATATTTGAGTGAAGTAATGGAGGATTGGCATGGATGACAGTGTAAACAAGAGCTGGTAAAAATAAGTCAGCACTAATGGGTTCACCTTCACGGGATAAATTTAACAATTGAAGTAATGACTTTGAACAATTGACTATACATTCTAATTTTTGAAGAGGAATGCTCTTTGATCCCATCTCAATGATATGTCCAATTGCTTGATCCATAAAATCACAGATATCAGGTTTGGTTAGATCGAGGTAAAGCTCAAGATGGTCCGTCATGATCCAGTCAAGACTTCGAATTTGATTCTGTAATTGTAAATCTTTTTCTTCATCTTCAATTAATATTTGATTGAAAATGGTGTTCCATGTGCTACTCAGTAAACGTATTTCTGTATAATCAATCAGCTGATCGACAGAAACCTGAACAATATCTTTAAAAACAGAATGGTCTTCAAATCGAGACATCATTGCTTGATAAAATTGGTGAACAATTGAACCCATCTGCTCCACTGTTTTCATTTCATTAAGTTGATCCGCTATTTTATTGACTTGCTTTTGAATATCTTCCAATGGTCCATCTTCGATATCTGATGCAGGTTCATTGGAAGTTCCACCGGCCCAAGAGGGTACAATTGAGCTGTAAATGTCACCATAAGACAATGATATTGAATCAAAACGCAGGAAATTTTTACTTTTTGGTCGGGCAGTTGTCAAAAATACTTGAGAAGTAGATGATGTTGATGAGACTCGATCTCGCAAACCAAATCGTTGAGCTGTATTCCTCAAAATTGATCTTAATGTTCTATTTTGTTTATATGCTTGGTTCCTTCTCTTCTCGGCAAATTTGGTAAAATCCGATACTGGTGATGTTGGTGTTGTAGCAGGTGTTGATGAAGATGATGCTAGTGTTGTAACTGTACTTGTAGTTGGTGATATTGAGCCAGAAGATTGGGTTGTTGTTGTTGATGTTGTTGTTGTTTGAAGAGGTGCATTTGATGTTAAGGAAAGAGATGAAGACGACAATGATGGTGATGATTGAGAAGATAAAGATGGTAAAGATGGTGATGAAGATTGAGAAGATGTTGATGAGGGCGGTATCGATCCATTGGGTTGAATCACCTTAGACGAAAAGCTGTTTGGTAACAGTGGTGCACCAAGGATTGTAGAGAGCCGAGATAGGCTGGAGTTGTTTTCATTTGTAGACACAAGTAAATCATTATTAGAACCTTTGTTGACTAAATTTGGTGTAGCTGAGAAAAAGGAGAATGAAAACATCTAATGGGAATAATTAAATCAAAGGTCGCATGTAAAAAATAAATCATAAGAGATGAGATCAGAGGAAAAATAACAGATAGATACAAGGGAAACAAGAGTAACCAGAATGGGTGAAGAGTAGAAAGACTGAATGAATTCACAATTTGGTGATCTTTTTGTTTATGCTCGGTCTCGTTGCCATTGTTTGAGAAATTATTTGGAGGGAGGATTTGGTTGAGATTTTTAAATTGACACTAACAGATTATATACTATTTGTATTGCTTCATTTGATATCTATCTTATCAAATGCAAGCAATCAAATTTACAGAGAAACAGTCAGGCAAAAAAAAGGAGAGAGCGCAAATACAAACGTTGAGTTCATCACTGGAAAGAAACACTTGTATCGATAATTGTATTTTAAAATGAATTTATTTTTTAAATCTTTCTCGAAGATTTTATTCCACACACTATTCCAATTTAACAATCTCGGTCGATAATTTTTCACTCAAACGTTAAAATGAAATCACAAATCAATAAGACTATTGTTTTGATTTTTGACAAGAAATTTTTTATCATAATCTAGTTCGGGCGACTTGGCTAATCAATTTCAGCGCACAAATGAAACGATTTACTGGCTTTTATTAACAGAATATTCAAGATAAAAATGTTTGCTCTATGACTTTTGCTTAGTTACCATGGGATTGATCTGGTGTAGTAAAGGAGTCATACTAACAAGTTTATCATTATTCACTTATTTGAACTACGAATTAACACCACTCAATCTATAAGAATACTGATTATAAAAACTAGAGATTATTTGCTAATCTTTCAAAATCTCTGAAATATCAGCTTTAAATCTGTACCAGAGCTGGTTCTATTGATTTGGATTTACGGCTTTTATGAAAATGGGTTGAAAAGACGATAATCTGGTTAATCTGATTGAATGGGTTGGAAGCATAATTTAAATGAGTTTGTTACGTTGGTTTAATATTTAGTTAGGTGTTATTTTATCAGATCTGAAAATAGTTTAATCAAAAAAAAATAAATTCTTATAATTTAATTAACAGATGGCGATGGTTAAGAGTCGATCGACATTAATGAACAATTTCAATTCTTCAACCTTTCCCTTGTGCTCCTTTAAAGATCCTAGATCAGCTGTCATTTACCTGTTTTTACTCAACTGTTTCTATTTTTGTTTTGTTTTTTTTAATGTTTATAATTAATTTATTTTTTCTTCTGTTCAGTCTTTAGATTTGATTTTTGTCATATTTAATTGAAAAGAAATGTCTCACTCAAGTAACATCCAGTTGGATGATAATTTAATTGATTTTATTAACAAAGCCAAGCAAAAGGGTAACATCCGTGCTGTGAAAATTTTAATCAAAGATGAAAAACTTGTTTTGGATGACCATGTAGAACCTCAAGGATCATGGAAAGACGATTTTATCCAATCTGTTAAAAAAATGTTCCTCGATAAGGAACCTTGTTATGTGCTCTTAAGACTGGATTCAGCAGGTAACAGCGATGATGCAAATTATGATTGGATCCTAATTTGTTGGTCACCAGATGATAGTCATGTTAGGCAAAAGATGCTGTATGCATCAACCAAATCAATATTGAAATTGACTTTCACTTTCAGCTCAACTTTGAACGACATATTTGCCACCTGCCAAGATGATTTTAACCCATTAATCGTAAGTATTCAATGTTATAATTTTAGACGAAGGCATGGTGGCTACGCCTTTAATATTTCCTGTTAAACATTACCTCTAGGTGTTTCATTATAATGATATTTTAATTGATTGAATTTTTTTATACTCCTTCAGTCTGGTGATTACTTTAAAACTGCTAAGCAAATTAGTGACGATTTACTGACCGTTCAAGAACAAGATCTGAGAAATGTTAAGAGAGAAGAAGCTCTATCGAGATCTGTAAACGCACCAGGGACTCATAGTATTCCAGGAATTGAGTTTCCCATAACCGATGAAGCTGTTGATGGAATATTAAGATTTAAAGAAGGCTCAATTGGTTTCGCCGAATTCTCATTAGATTTAAGTAAAGAAATGATCCAATTAGAGTCTACCGAAGACGCTTCTAAATTTGATGTAAAAACTCTTGGATCAAGAATGCCAACCAAGAATCCGAGATACATTTTATTCGTTTATCCTCATCAGTATGAAGGAGCCTCCTTAAAAAGTATCATCTTTGTTTATTGGGTTCCCGGAAGTGGCTGTTCAATCAAAGAAAAGATGCTTTACTCAACTTGCAAACTTCCCCTGTTAGCAGCAATTCAGGATGCACGTAAATTCGGAATCGAGATAACCAAAAAATTAGAGATTGATGATATTGATGAGCTCAAAGAAGATAATTTATTGAATGAGTTACATCCACCAAATAGTGCCTCTGCTAGCAAACCTGTCTCGTTTGCCAAACCTCAAGGTCCAGCCGGTAAAAGAGGAGCGAAACGATTAATCCGAACTGGAAACGATGCATGATTTAACCTTCCGCACACTTTAGTCAACTATTTTAATCGCATTGCTTTTTACTTTAAAATAACGTTTCAATCATAAATTTTACAAATCATTTACTAATAACTACACGAAAACACTTTCTAAAAACTTGCCGTGATCTTACTCATAAAACAGGAAAAAGTGAAGATAATTTTTTTTCATCAAAGCTCATATCAAGTTTATTAACGTCTTGGATTAACAGTTATACAAAATTACAAATCTTACCCCTAAACTGTCCTTGGTATGTTAACTCCACATTATCCAGAAGTCGGTGGAAATAGTAAATTCAAAAAATACAAAATAATGGGAACAACAGGCATCAATAATGAACCAAAGGCTAATACTGTCAAAAGTGGAATCGCTAAAGCAATTATCAAAATAATTGGATGAACCATTCCAAGTGATAGATTCGATTTTTCTTCACTTTCAGATGGATTCTAGAATGAATTGTTATTCAATCATTTTAATCAAATCTATCTTTTAACAGGAACAAACGATAATAATTATGAATAATATTGCAAATAATCAACACTCACCTTATAAAGTAACATTGGATAATAGATGATATTTGATATTGGCCTTCGAAGACTTTTAATTACTCCATAGTCTCGATTTTCATTATCATCATCACTTAGATTGATATGAGTTTCCTCTACAGCATGACAAAATTGAGCCGGTGAAAGCATCTCGTGAATATAAATTGTAAATATAATAATACAGCAAAATCTGAGATGTAACATCATCTTTTGGTGATAAACTTTGATAAACATGAGTTTACGATTAACATGAAAAAATGATACACAAGTATAAAATATTGGAATCGACTTTTGTCTTCTTCAAACTAAATTATAACTAAAATCTAATTTCTTTAAATTCAACAAGAGTTTTACCTTTAAAATCTGAACCATACTCTTCTCTCATCCTCAATCATGAAACCATTAAATTGAATTAAAACAGACCGTTACCGGGAAAATAGCAAGAATCAGTGACACATTAATCAAAACAATGGTTTAAGATGACCAAATATTTTTTTACAAATATTAAAAATAATACAGAAAAGACTAAGGCGTTGTTAACTGAATGGTCAGGTTATTATTGAATACAAAAAGATAACCTTGTATTACAAAGCATACAAAACATTATTCTGTTCAATTTGCAGAAAAATTCATAACTTTACATGTATTGATAAAATTCAATTTTGTTGAGCAAAAAATGAGACTTTGACCTAAATTAGTACAATGATAATACAATGAAGTAACATCTGAAAATCATCTCGCATAGTGATTTACTATTTAAAGGCAAAATAATCTCCAGTTGGATCTTCTAACCAAGGATAATTGCGTGAACACTCCATACAAGTGTGAAGACGAACGGTTTCTCCGGGCAATTCTCGACTGTTTAGTGCACACTGACTGGGTAGACTGCAATGAGGTTGACCTGAGACAGTGCACTTCTCTTTCCAAGCTTCGAAATCGGTAATGGAATCAAGGGAAGTAGGTGATTGCATCCATTGAAGAACCTGACTCATGGTGACAAAATAGACATCTTTCTTATTCAACATTTCATCGATCCATTGAATGAAAACTTCAAAAAAATCGGGATTGCTTTTCAACCATGAGGCATGGAAAAAGAGACCCAATGGAGCCCGATTGGTCTTGTAATGGCGGTCAAAGTTGTGATTAAGGAAATTGTAAAATTGTTCAGCAGATAAAATGTTGGCACAGGAGTCAACCATAGAGCAACCAGATAAATCTTCATCAAATTGTGGATCTTCTCGACGATCCAATTCATTCATAACAATCTCCCATACAGGATGTGATCGAGTTGGACAATTTTGTCCATTTCCGTGGCATTTGTGAGGCATTCGGAAATAAAGAGTATAAGGCCAAAGAGGTGGATTGGACAGGGGTGCAGTTATGGTTGAATCATAGAGGAAAGCTTGCTCATCCATCATGAAGAACTGGTTATTGCCTCCTATTCTTAAGGCGGGTGATCGAAGGCCAACAATTGAGTTATCTGTTATGTTAGCAAATCGCTCCATGATCAACCTAACTCCAGCCATTTCCTTAGCCCATGTTTCTCGAGTTGCTGTGGTCCAATATTTCTCATCTGTGTTGTGAGTAATCGAGTGAGCCGCCATTTCATGACCACGTCTATGAAGCTCCTGGACAGCTGAATAATTTGTATATTTATGAGATACGAAGAAGGTTCCTTTTATAGAGCAACCATTTGGATTGAGGCGATCACTCTTGAATAAATTGTCATAAACATCGATGTTGTTGTTGTTGATGGCATCGTCGAAAGAAATCATCACCATTTGAGGTACTTTACTTTGCTCCAATTTACCAGGAATTTGAGTTCCATCAATCGAGCAGTAACATTCAGGTAGGACACATACGGCAGGGTCACAAGGAGGTGCTCGATTTGGGTCTTTATCAAGAGCTAATCAGAAAATGTAAAAAATAATGTTGAGTAAAATGTTCGAGCTAATAGTACCCTCAATAAATAGACGATAACTTACTGCAAACATTTTCATCGGATCCATCAGCACAATCAGGTTTGCCATCACAGAACAGTTCCTTCTCAATGCAGGCAGCATCACCACAAGCCAGTTTACCAGTATCACAGATCGGAGTATCTGTCGATAGTCTAGGTAATGCCAAACGAGGTTCTGTAACCAAAATGAGTTGTTTGAATAAAATTTACAATGTATAATACTTTGAAAAAGTCATGAAGGTATCATAAACTAAATTTACTTACTTTCAAGTTGACCACAATTTTTAACATTATTTTTCCAGTCGCAAGTCTGACGATCGATGTCAAAGGCCAGTCCAGAAGGACATCTCAAAGCAAGTAAGCCTTGAACAGAACATCTAACTACATCACGACAATCTTCATCAGCTGATAATCGAAAATATTCATTGCCTGGTCGCCCTTTGCACAATTCAGCTTCATTAAGATCAGTTTGACGTTTATTTATTTTGAATGAATAACCTGTTGAAAAATAAAATAAAAATATTTCAGTTTAATGTCATCTTTGAAGCAATAGAGTTTCCGTAAAAGGTCAAGTAACATGTTCTTTAAAAATAGTATTAATTACTTCCATAACCTCAAGTTGAAAGTTTCAGCCAATCAAAGACTTGAATCAATTTCTAATGGTGAAATATTTGCCTGAAACTCATTTACTATGAACTATCAAATCTTTTCTAAGACCCGATTGTCAGATGTTAAAATGCGCAATTTAAGAAAGTATTTTGGATGGATTTACTTTGATTATCCGCTTTATGAAACTGTTATTAGCCCCTGAAGACATAACATTATTAAAGGTATAAAGCAGTAATTCAAGGCAAGCAACAATTTATAAGAGATTAATCTAGTAAATTCCTGTAAATAAAGATCGAATTACGTATTACAAATACTGACTGAAAGACTGGACGAAAAAACCACATGTTTTAAAACGCATTAACAAAATCTCATTTTAAGGAATTAATAAGTATTACAATTAACTCTCATAAAGATATATTAATATAGACAATAGACCAAAATTGAAAGTTTACTTACCTTGGTTTGGTATACAAAACAAGATTAGAATTACATAGTTGAAAGTAAATAACATGTTGAATATTGAACAGTCAGTTATGAACATTATGATGTAAATAATAGTAAATCAATGGCACTAATGGACATGGAATTGAAAATCATCCGAAAAAAGGATGATGTGATGAAAATTAGAAACTGGAGCCAAAAAATGATGAAATTTTCCTATTCGTATTGAACAAAGAAACAAACAATATCCAGCGTTAAGAGCACTAGTGAAGACTAAACGAATATTCTTGGATATTTACTCACACCAAAGACGAAGAAGAAGAAAAGGGATGATAATTTAAAGAGAGAAGAAAGACAAATAAGGAGCAAGGACGCCGAGAATTAAGAAAAGGATTTAAAATATTGGGCTAATCAAGTCATAATCAAGTCTTAACAGAGGGTTAGCAGAAGTTTGAGTAAACATTGTAAAAATCTTTCAGGAGATTCTCAACAGAACTGGTTTTCAATTTTTTACTACCTTTAATTTACTAACTTCTAATTACCTGTTGTTTTAAGGACCTCGTTTGCTGTTTTCTGGCAACAGCTAATTCAGTCTTTCAAGGCTTCCTGTCCTCCTACAATAGCCATAGGACAGTTTCCAGATACACAATGACTGGATTAGTCACTGATTACTTTGTTGTTGACAGACTTTACCTTCAGGTGAATTTGTTGAAACCATGTACATGCCCATGTCCATGTGAAAATGAGTTTATTTTCAGCATTATACCCGCGTTATGCTTAACTTTGTTGTTGGCGCTAAAAATTGCTGTAAAAGCATTGACAGTTGATTGTCTTGTAAATTATAGTGCTTATAACGATCTCATGTTTTCTGAACTTTCATTATTTGTTTCATGAAGAGTAATAGTTTAGAGAAACGATTTTAAATGAACACTTTATCTTCAAGATCATTTATAATATTAAAGAAAAATTATAATAAATTGTTACATTATGTTTATTTTTTCAAATATTAACAATACATCTCGCTTACTGAAAATGCAAGTTGTTCGTTATTACTTTCATCAGTGTAATCATTGAATTATCAAGTCACTTATTGAAGATTTCAAGATCAAATGGCCCTGCCTAAAAAGAGCTCATTTGTCTCAAAATTGTCTTCAGAGGGAAGTTGGATCTCTTGGAAACCTAATTTCAGATAAAATTCGATTATTTCCTTTTCTCGGGTTAAAAGACGAGTACAGGCACCATGAGAACCTAGATGGTCGAGAAATAAATAATAGATAAAAAGAGTGGGTGAGTTTTAGATTCAATGAAAGCTTATTTTTGAAATACATACCATTAGCCTTAAGAGCGGTAAGGACGAGAGACAGCAATCGCTTTGGGACACTTGCATCAAGTAAAGTGGGTGAAACGGTAAGGTACAGAAGGGAAGGATGAGTTTTGTAGACTATGTCAGGAATACGGAATGATCCTTTCTGGTCTTGGTGCATGGCCACAATCATTTCTTCTGCAGAATCTAATGTTTCTCCTTTCTCTTGCTTTTCTGACGGGCATGGATATTTAGTGACCATTTCAGGAAACCATGCGGCTTCCAGTTTTTCTTCATACTTTCTAGCGTCTAATGCTGCAAGAGCATATCCAATAATTTCATTTGCATCTTCTACAACGAAACAATATTCAGGGCATAATGTTATGAATCCTCCGACAAATCTGGAATGAACGAAAAGCAATGATTAAAACCTTGTTCAAAAATATAATGAGAAAACAATTTACTAACCGATCAGGTAAAAGGTCTGGATATTGTTTAAAATTGTTACTGGTCTCATAAAATTCTAGAAAACTTTTATTATAGAGCTTGTAAATGATTGCTTCGTCAGGTGCCCTGAACGGGCGGATATTGTAAGAACGACTAGATGGTAATTCAGGTGATTTATAAATGAAAAGATCATTTATGCTCTCTAATGGAAGTAGTCTTTGAAGTTCACCGGTCAATCCTCCACGAAAAATCCATGGCTCTTGATCTCCACTGGAAAAGGCTTCTTTATATCCTTTAGAAAACCCTAGAGATTGGTGTAAAAAAAGATCAAATTGAGAATCAAGATAATCGAGAATAATTTTGATGTTGATTAATTACATGTGAAAGTTGGGGAAGCAGTGGCCGCTGGGGTAGTAGGTATTTTTCCAAGTGCTAGCATCAAAAGAATAGACATTTGATTAATAATTATTCTTCTGGTAATGTTGATCAATTTCTGAGCTTACCCATCCACTTGACATAGCTGTTGAGCAATGAAACAGCACCTCTAAGGTCCCAAACATAAGGAAAAAGGTCATAAATAAGTGAAAGATTTTTGCAACCCACGAGATGTAAACAAAGTCGATCAACAGTATCAGATATTTCTTGAAACTTTTTAGCTCGCTCAAACCATTCAATAACTTCAGGAGAATCAACAGAACCTAAAGATTGTCTTCTATCGTCAGAGATTAGGTGACCATTTGTCTTAAGCCATTGAAATTCGTTAAGAATGTGGACCCCTTGAGTACCATATTCGAATGGTAAGTAAAACAAATCAACTAGAAGTGAAACATCTTCAAAACTAACCGTTTCAACTTTGTTTTCTTCGATACAGTCGTCTGATAAACTTTCGGTTTGCATTTCTTCTGTTAAATCAGCACATGGATTATCCTTGCTGATTGAGTCACTAGCTGTTCCAGGATGAACAACATCAGGTTCTTCATTCTGTGTTTGTTCGATTTTATTATTTGCTTCTTCCATCTGAGCATCAGAGACATGCTTAGGCGATAAAGCTGGCGATGCGTTACAATCCATTGGCTCCAAAGGATTAAGGATCACTGTTGGAGTAACCAATGAATTAGCCAATTCCTTGGTTATTGGCTGGAAATTGGACTCGCCCACCGTTTCAAGAGCCTTCTTGCCACACTTTTCATTTAAAGTCAAACTTCCATCATCATTGATGATATTATCATTATTTGGTAGCAATAATGGCGGTGGAATAGTGAGAGTAGGTATAACTGCAGCAAGTGGAGTAGTTATAACGTCATTTGGTTTACCATAGGCAACTTTGGATTCATTAAATTCTGGTAACCAGGCCTCGACCGCTAAAAAGAAATAATTTTTTCAATGATTAAAACACAAACAAATGATTTATAATAATGATAAAATGTTAAAACTGGACGAACCTGCACGTAAAGCTTTTCTAGGATGATAAGTTGTGGCACTTAGGCACGTAGGTATATTATCAATAGAAGCTGATTCATTTTCAGTTTCTAATTTGATATCAGACGAAACATTATCACATTTAACATCCGAGTTACATTTACTCCACTGGGCCAATGTGTGGATGGCTATAAAATTAGGCTCATATTCACAATTAGGATTTGTGAGCACACCTCTGAGATGAGCATTGAGTTGAGTTGAACGACCTGAATATGGTCCAAGGAAGATTCGCTTTTGATCATAATCATTAGCATGAATATTGTCCCATATCACCGGGTTTCTTTTTAGTACTTCCGACAACTCTTGGATAGATTGAACAGTAATGTTCTTGGAGATAACTTTGTTACCTGTCCACATAATGTCGATAGCTGGAAGAAGTTTGGAACCTAAAATGTTTAAGTAATCGGAATTATGGACATTAGGAATGGCCCTGGATGCACAGTACTCTGTTGGACAGAAAATAAATTTAGGCTGCCCCAGGCTTTGATACACTTCATTGGTTACTGAGACTTGAGCATGGCCGAAACTTTGGAAAACTTCTTTATCAGTCTCACTAATTTCAGGCTCTATATCATCAAATAAAAGGGCAAATGCATCACATCCAAAATGTGATACTTGTTCGAGTTTTCTTTTAAGACAATTGACTTCTTTAGGGTTAGAATAAACCATATCCAGTCCAGGTGACACGGCATAATAAAACGTAACTCCATTTTCTTTGCAGCAAGATATCAGGGCTGCTAATTGTTCCCCTTCTTCAACGCTATACAGTTCCCTCCAATATGCTCGATGCTTGAAATCATCTTTAGGGGCATACATGTACGTGTTGAGTCCAAAATTTTTCATTCTGATAGAGTAATTTGAAAAAAAACAGCAAAAAATTGGAATGTAAGTTACTTAATCAAATGGATGAACTTGAGAAAATATGCATCTACCGATAAAAATGTATAACTTACTTGACAAAAAGATCTTTTCTTTGGGCAGTGGTCCATGGTCTTCCATAGAAGCCTGAATTGGATTGATAAAAGAAACAGATGATGAAAAATGTTAGCTAAAGGAGACAATAAGATGAGAAAAAGATTGCTTACCCTCAATAACACCACACATGAATCCTCGTTCATCCCTCTCAGACTCACACATTGTGAACCATAAAGATAGTTCCCCCAATTGACATCAAACATGAATGAAATTATAAAGAATTTGCAAAATTAACTTTAAAAAAATCAAACAGTCGTGTCAAAATTATATCTCCATACAAAGTCATCAATTCTATAATACAAAGATAAATACAGGCAAAAAAAGATACACAAGGATGGAAGAAGATCAAGTAATGTAGGAAGAGTAAAAATTATAAGATGATGATAATAGAAATAAGTATTAGAAATAATTGTAGATATAAATTTGAGAAAGTCCAGGTTATTATAACCAATTATTAGTTGATTTTCACTTAAAATAAGGTACACAAATAGAAGAAAGTATTGCTATTTTTCACAATAGCTTGATTTTTGAACAATAGACAATCATTAGTCAATTTTTGAAGCCAATATTGAACCACTGATCAGAAATTCAGATCAACACAATAATAATATTTTAATAATATAAATGATACACAGCATTAATAAACAATCTTAAATAATGGTTACTTTGACCAGCAGAAAAGTTGCTCAACAACACAATTTTTGTTACAAAAATACATGAAATTGCCATAGTTACTGCAGCGGGCAATTCATATAATCTCAAACTATTTCACTTGTCAAACTATCAATATTACTTTACTAACAAGGGAACCCCATGAATTGATAAACCGATGGTACTGAATGACAAATTTTAAATATTCGGTAAAAATCCCGAATATAACATTCATCACCTTTCCGAAGTGTAAGGCGCTGACAAAGTCTCTGTAGCTCATAAAAAGCTCAGTTCAATAAAAAGTGTTTCTGTTTCACTATACAAAAGACACCAAGAAATAGCAGCAATTACAATTCGTGAAAATAAAACCAAATGAGCTTTTCAATGATGTTAAACCTTTCTTTCAAGTCCAAACCAGTGATTCCCTTTCGTTTGATATTATCGATGCTATATTTGGGTTTTGTTTGCACCAATTGTTTTTATTATTAATAATAAGCTAAAAAATTGGTTTAAATTATCAATCTGTATGATTTAACACCAATGCTTTGCGATGGACTAAACCCAAATGTTTGATTTATGGTAAACATGTATTAATTGTAAGAATGTCAGATTCAGTACATATCAGGATTTATTGATAATCTATCAACGTTTATTTCATTGAAGCAATTGAATTTTCAAGGGTTTTATCACACGAGTTGTTGGTGATATAATCTGATGAATCAACCAAATTAATCATCATTAATAATTCATTGTTCATTACTTCATTACCATTTAGTATGTTTGTGCTGAATCTCCAAAAAATGATCTCTTTCTTTGTATTTCTTGTTTTACTCATTGATATAACTCAATCTCATAACAACTGTAATGATGGTTGCTTAACTAAAACTTACTGTTTATCCGCTGATGGATCTGATGTTTGCTCAAACAATAATTTAGTCCAAGTTAAGTTCAGTGTCAATGAATTGTTACAATACAAAGATTATCTCAACATTACTCTAATTGGGTCTCAAATTGAACCAGCTGATACTCGGACAATTTCCCTTCAGTTTTATACCAACACACCTGTAGTAACTTATTCATGTACCAAATCATCATTAGGATCAACAAGTGCTTCAATCGTTCAAAATGGCAATACTTATACAATTGGATCATCATATTATTTTGAAAATAGCCTGCTTTGTTCCTGGATAATGTCAAAAGATGATCTTTCCTGGCCAACATACAATGGACGTAAAATTGACTTGATCACCGATAGCTCATACAAGCTTGTCCTCAACAGCGACTCTTTAAATCATTTGATTGCTCGAGACACAAGTCAGCTTCCAATTTATCAGATGCAGTTTCTTAAATGTTGTAATCAAATCCACGGAACTCAAGACTACCAATTGATTGTCAAACAGGCCGACTATTCAACAACCTTTTACCTCTATGAGGTAGACTCTACAGCAGTTAATAATGTTGCTGTGTCACTATCTAGCTCGGATAACCGATCGTTGACCATCAATTGTAATCTTGGATACAATTCAATTACTGGTACATTGAGGACAGACTCTAACACCGAAAGTATTTCAGGTCAACTCTATTCTAAATATGTTGACAACTATCGATGTGCATGGTCTCAGCCTTTTACAATCAAGAGCTCGTACAAACCCTTTGAAACCAAGAATAGAGTCTTTGATTTGAAAATTGTTGCTGATAATATTGTTGTTTACACTGAATCAGATGTTTCCTTGAAAGGATTGGCCTCATCTGTGACTGCAAATTCAATTCTTACAATGATAACTGTATTATTCACTTTTTTAATCAGATGATTTGCGATTATCAGCTACCTTTGATAAAAGCCACAAAATTTTAGCATGTAAACTATAATCTAGATACGGATATTGAATCCGCGTGCTGATTCACACCCTTATTTGTTAATCATCTCTGTATTCATTTATTGAAAGAGTTTATCAGCTAAATTAAACAATTATTTTGTCTAACCCAAAATTGTGATTACTGGTAATTTCCTCAAATCATTGTTATGGGTATTCAATGATGAACCTCAGAAATTGAGATTTCTGGAAGCAGTCTGGACCGTCAAATGGTACGAACTGTTTTACTGTGTTACTAGGAAAGCAGATTAGACTTTTAATATCATTGCCATCGGTTTACTGATTAAGAAGCTGTATTAGACATTGAACGATCAGGTTTCACAATCAAATGAAGTAAAACATTTGATAAAAAGACAATTAGAATTGATTGTATCAACAATAAAAATGCAGTGATTCAAAAAGATCAACCCATAAATTGTTTTAGCACTTTCATTAGATTTCAATTTACAATATTTGGAAATTGTTTACGACATCGAAAGTTAATCATCGGTTTCAATAAGATGACGGTTTCTCAGAGTTGGCTTAGTTTACACTTTCGTTATTATGTATTGCTAGCAACAGCGGCCAGTTCTGCTTTCATGTTTTCATCTCGATGTGTTATCAATTTCGCCATTCTTGCCATGGTCACGGTGGAGTCCAATTCAACTTTAATCATACCGGCAAGTAATTAATCACTCAATTTATTGAATCCATTGGATGATAATGTTTCTCATTCAATTGTAGGAAGCAGAGATCGGATTGTTGCCATCTAAAGCTCCAACTCTGGACTGGGACCAGGAACAGCAAGGAATCGTCATTGGTTCTTACCATTATGTTTACACTTTGCTTCAAATAAGCACCGGCATTTTAGCAGATAAATTTGACGCTGTTAAGCTTACAATATTGTCTCATTTTTTCGCCTCTTTAGCTACTTTGGCATTTCCTTTAGCAGCTACAACCAGTTATGGTTTAGCTATTACCTTGCGTGTTTTACAAGGCCTTTGTCACGCTCCAATCTTTCCTTGTTGTCTTGTTGTTTTTGAAAATTGGTTCACACCGCAAGAGAAAGCACTTGCGATTGGAGCAATGACGTTTGCTTATAACTTAGGTACAGCAATTGTTATGCCAGTAACAGCTTGGCTTTGTATCAATGGGTTTGCTGGTGGATGGCCATCGGCCTTCTACTGCATGGGAATCGCTAATTTAATTTACATTGCGCTGCTCTACTTGACGGTTTCATCTAATCCAAATGACAGTCGTCTAATAAGTGAAACTGAAAAAACATTAATCTCCAGTTATCTTCAAACAAAACCGAAATCCAAAGTAAGTTGAACTTTATATCTCTCATTGATTTGCTTCTAATTTTATTTGATCTCGACCAGAATCCAACTCCTTGGAAAGCAATGTTCACATCAGTACCTTTGTGGTCGGCGACTATCGCAAGAGGGATTCTGTCTACAGCTTATAATGTCGTCAACTCTAGAATACCTCTTTATCTTGAAATCATCCTTGGTTATCCGTTACAAAAGAATGGTTTCATTAATTCAGCGTTTTACTTGATTGATGCCTGTAGTCAATTGATTAGTGGCCCATTGTCCAGGTACATTGCTTCCAAAGGCTATCTAAGTCTGGGTGCTACTCACAAACTCTTTGAATCTATTTGTAAGTTAAACCAGAATTACTAATCTTTATATGCAATGCATTTGATGGAATGTTTTACCTTTGCTTTTTCATGATTTCAGCACTTCTTGGCCCGGCATGTTTCTTGCTGAGTATACCTTTCTTGTCTGGTAGAGCTGATGTTATTATATTTGGCTTGATTATGACAATGTTTTCAATGGGTTTTGCAACTGGTGGAGACATTCAAATGGTTCCCGAAATCGCTCCAGCTTTTGTTGGAACTGTGTTCGGCTTCTCAAATACACTTTCATGTGCAGCTGGTTTCATTTCACCCATGACAATTGGTTATATTCTTGAGGATCAGGTGTGTATAAATTGATGCAAAAAAACTTTTGAGTTAAGAGTAAGACTGGTTCGAGTGATTTTTCCTGGTGTAACTTGCAACTGGTAAACAGGAAAATGAATCATTTCAAGGAAGGCAATCCTCTGTAGCTGTACAACAGCTAGGTCCAAAACTGAACAATCGATTAATGTAAAAAAGAGTTTGATCGTTAGTGTTTACCAATCATTTCTGTCGATAAGTTTCAGCTCTTCCACGAATCAAGTGCTTTAACTCGAAATCACAGCGATCTGTAGTAAAGCAAGAAAATTGCATTTCTCAAAATAAATACATTTTCTGTTAATCCATCAAATTTACAAAAATTGGTTTGAAAAAGTATGAATCAAAAATGTACAAAAAAGCATTCGAAGCTTGAATTTTTAAAGCTATTTTGTCAAAAACTGTCGATCATTGGCCAAGTGTAACTCTTAACCGAAAAATCAAAGCTTTTTTATTTATTTCTTTTTGTCTTTTTGTACTTATTTTACTAATATCATCATGATAGTTGATATCTCTTTATTTATTAAATTAATGATTGAATATTTGATTCTTCTGATCCTTAGGTTTTCTCTGTTGATCGATGGAACATGGTATTCTTTTTATTTGGAGGCTTACAAATCATAGGAGCAGCCCAATTCATTTTGTTTGCCAGTTCCAACCCTCAACCTTGGGGTGTTATCGAGGAAACGCCATCAAAAAATGGAGACATTGAAATGAGTGATAAAAAAGCAGATAAATCAAGAGATAAATCGGTAAATCCGAGATCAATCAATTGATTGAAAAACTCTTTCCTTGCTAACTTTTAACAAACTAACCAAAATGAATCTGTTCATAATACAATCAATTCTCATTGCAAAGACTCAAATTCACAATGGAGAACACCGAAAATCGACAAATCAATTTCATAACAAAACAAAATCATACCGGGAAAAGTTGATCACACATCAAATGAAACAAAAATTTATTGAAAAAGCACAAAACTTTTTAATATTTTCAAAACAATAAATCTACAATATACAGTATGATGCATTGTAAAACTAATTTATCAATTAGTAAACCTCTCATGAAATGTATCAAGATAGTTAAATAGTTATTTGCTTTTAAACTCTTCTATTAAATTTTCAATCATTTTAACAGCCTGCAACTGTCTCTTGGAGTTTTTCATATTTTGTGAGATCGCTTTCACTCGATTTTGCATTTCTTGATCACTCAAAGCCTTTTCAATGCAATCAAGAAAATAATCTTCATCAAGATCATAAGGATTGACTCGGAAACCAATCTTCTTATCAACAACTCGTTGAGCATTGTCAAATTGATCAAAAAAGTATGGGACAACAATCATTGGTTTGCCATAATAAAGTGTCTCCATGAAAGTGTTGTTGCCTCCATGTGTTATAACTAGATCAACCATTTGAATAACTTTGATTTGATTGAGATAATTTTCACCACACATGTTGTCTGCCAGTTCAAGTTGATCACCACGAGATCCTTTAGAGATGATGAAGCGATGAGAAGATTTGGATGCTGCATTGATTAACTTTCGCATAACGAGTAAATCGTTTGATCCTAAAGTTCCCAAAGACAAGTAAATTAATTTTCCAGACTTTTTACTTAAACTTTCAGGTAACTCAAAATCATTGGTATCATCAGCTGAGCGAACATAACTGTCAACTCGAAACCATTTCTCGTCATGTTTAGGTTCACATTCAGAGTAATCAAGATCACTAGGGTACTGGTAAAAACCAAAGTGTCTCAAAGGAAGAACCCAGGTATTGCCGTAATAATACTCTTTACGGCCACCTTTTTTCAATAATTTGTTGAACACATTCTGCATCTCTTTGAATGCTTCTTGATATATCTCGGCAAATTCATCCCATATTTTTGGGTCATCGTTGATGGAAAGACCTGAGGCAGCTGGTGGTCCACCTTTATACAACAGTTTGGGGTTGCCTGACATTAATGGTATAACTGGTAATCCACTGTTGAATAGACAATTGACCACATCACAGGCGTCTGCGGCTATGGCATCAAAAGCACCAGGATTTTCGTGTAACACTTTGGTTAAAGCTAAATCTAGTTTAACAAAGGATTCTTCATTCAAAGCCATGTTCTTTTTATCTTGTTCAGTCATATTTTTGATTCGAGTCAAAGGATCGGCTCTGAATGTTTCCATATTAGTGTCAACCCAATCACTGACTGCGTTTTCAAACACTGCTCCAAGTATCTCCTCATCTAATGGTATGAATTTGAATCCTCGACTATCAGCCAAACCTTTATACTTTTGTCTTTGAACAAAAATAACTTCATGTCCATGAGAAGAAAGCATTTCACCAAATCCAATTGTTGCATTAATGTGTCCCAGCCTATGAATGAAAATTGAATAAATAGTAAAGACAATTAAAACCTATAATTAAGTTATTTAGCCTCTCAATCCTGCGATGAGTTTTAAATTAAGAGACAAGAAATTGAAAGTACGGCTTAGAACCTAAACTTTAGAAACCAGTTTTTTGCATTTCTCTATCCTTCTCTTTTCATTAAATCACAGAGATATTTAATCTTATTACTTACGCTTCGAGACTTGTAATTAAAATCCGATATGATGGCTTACTCATTGTTAAAATGGTCAGTTAGTTTAACAGATTCACAGTTTTAACCCAAAGTACACTAATTAGGAGAAACGTTCACCCAATTGACTGAAAGTTACAATACGAGAAATAAAAGACTACTGAACAATATTTTTATAAGCAACCCATTTATGAGTATTTAAGTGGTTTGATAAAAATGATTAACTTATAACTCAAGGTAATATACAATATTAAGTACAATTAAATAACCATTTACATCGAAAAGCAATGTAAAAAATAGTAAAAATAAACAGCTGCAATAGGTAAATACCCAATCTAAAAGTTTCATAATAGCAAACAATTTACTAATGCCTTTATTGTAAGTTGCTTCTTTGTATTAAAAATAATCTAAATGAATGCTAGTAAAGCTTGAATGAATCTGATTAGGACATATTACATTATAATATTATCAACCATTGAGAAACTTCAACTTCGTTTATATTATTAATAATATGTAAGTGTTACATCATGTGAAGGGTTATGAATGATTATTGTATTGACTGATTGAAAATAGACTTTGATAAAGCCATGTTTTTTCACCAAAAAAGAAACTATTCAGCAAATCGTTTTAAGCAAACATGAATCTTTGAGTTAGATAATTTGATCACAATTGAATTGCCCATTTTGAAGCGAATGCTATTTCTCAGAAAATTTCATTTGTCTATCAATTAAGCTACTCTGTTCTCCAGCATTTTGATATTTTTCATTTTTTAGGTTAAATTTCGGCCACAAATTGTTGATTCTTCAATCCTTCATCTCTGAAAATATGACTTCATTGAAATAACTGACTATCATTAATAGCCTAGCAGTTCATTCAGACATAAATCTGTCTTCTGAAGATGTTAAACAGATATGAGTCCATTTCAATTGACTTCGTTTGTTGACCCAACGGAAACCTCAACTCTGGTGCAAAACACTTGTCGATCTTGAGTTGTCTCATACCAATCATTCAACATCTCATTTTAAAGCATTTAGGAAAGGTGTTGAGTAATTTGATGAAAAACATGATGAATCTCATTGAAATTGTTAAAAGCTATCCAAGACTACCGCTTATTTCAGCACTCGGTTAACTATTAAAAATAGTTTTACTTGTAATGAATCATTATAAATGATAGCTTGATTGAAACAAAAGTGGTTTTTTTATATTTCCAATCTATTCTAAATTGCCGGGCTAAGAATTTAAGATTTAAAGTCTTTACTTTTAGTTAATTAGTTGTGAACTCGCCCTGATCTATCAAAAATAAAGGATAAAAGATAACGAAAGAAAAGAAAGAAAAGATTTAAGTTAAAGTAAGAAGCGAGGAGGAAAGAAAAGTGACTCTTAAGTTTAAAGTAGAGAGTGAAAACTGGTTTACTATTGGCCAAACCTGTACTAATAACCCAATTGCGCTCTTCTTTTTACGTTCCGTTTGCTTTAGTCATTTACAGATTTTTAACATTTTAGTTCATTTCTCTTGATATATTTCATCGAAAAATTGATACTTACCTTGATTATTGTGCCTAATGCTGTGATTAGTGGGGCAAAATGTAAGGCTTACCGTTTGGAGATACTAGTTTATATCATTTTTGTTTACAACCTGTTCAACATTAAGGCCTAACATTGTGAGTTACATGTCAACAATAATCTTCTGTTTACCTGATTCAAATTACAGTACCATGTTAGTTTTGGATATTTATAATGCCTAAATTACTCACCAATTTACTTATTTAATCACACATTTCCAAGCTTTAACCAATGTCTTCACAGTGTGTGCACCTGATATTTATTATTTTCACATCTTTACTTTTTGTTTTATTCGTGCCTTGTAATGGAGAGTATATTTGTCCAAAACCTGGTTCAATACCTGATCCCTGTACATGTGATCGCAATGGAACACTCGGATTAACAATAAGTTGCTCTGGAACCAATCTCGCCATCATAACACTTTCACTAAGATCAATCAAGAAACCCATTGATACTCTAACTATTAGATCTGTAAATACAACAACTCTTAGCGGGCCAATATTTCAAGATTTGACTATTCACAATTTAAGAGTGATTCAAACAAACATAACTAAGCTAGAGCCAAGTGTTTTGGATTGCTGCAAGTCCACCTTGAAATCTCTTGATTTACAAGAAAACAAGCTGACCTCCTTGGACGATGTGATAAAAACAGCTGAACAAATTAGTAATTTAACTCGACTCAATTTGAATGAGAACCGGATCAGCAAGATTAATGATAAAAGCTTTTCGAAGCTGAAAAATCTAAGAGATTTATCTCTTTCTTCAAATGGCATCGCTAAATTGACAGCATCAACTTTCACTGGACTAACTAACCTGGAATCACTGGATTTGAGTAATAACCTTTTGACTAAACTGGAGCGAAATGTCTTCAAAGAAACCAAAAAACTGAAATCACTGGATGTTTCTTATAATAAGGTGACTGAGCTTGGAAAGTCGGATTTGACTGATTTAATCAATTTAGTCTCCTTCAACTGTTCACATAACAAAATATCCAAGCTGGGACGATCTCTTCTCAGTCGTAATGCTCAGCTGAGAGAAATCAATTTGTCTCACAATCAATTGAAGGAAATTGATTCCTACCTATTGAAAGGAGTTCGTTTCTTGAAGGATATCAACTTGCAAGGCAACAACATAACAACTATTGCCAAAAACGCTTTCAGTTCAACTACTCGATTAAAAAACTTGAACCTGGCTTATAACCAACTGGTCGAGTTGACCCAAGAAGTATTTAAAGACCTTCAATGGTTAGATCGATTGGATTTGTCACATAATCGAATCAAAACAATTGAAAGAGCTTCAATGACTAAGATGTATAAAGTTGCTATTGATTTAAGTTACAATGGACTTGAAAAAATTGAACCAGGAAGCTTTCTCGATTTAGCCAATGTTACAACCCTTAATCTTTCCTACAACAATCTCACCATACTGCCCAACTTGGCCTTCGAGAATTCGGATGTTACCAATCTATTACTTGATCACAATTACATCGTCGATTCAACTAAAATCCTCATCTCTAATTTAACTGGAATCAAGATGCTCAACCTTTCTTATAACCAAATCACTGATCTTAACCGTAAATCATTATCAACTGGTAAACTATATGAACTAGAGACTATTGATTTAAGTTACAATTCAATCAAAGACATAACTGGATCCATCTTTGAAAAATTTCAATCAATTCGTGATCTCCGTTTAAATAACAATAAAATAAATAAAATTGGATTCGGTGCTTTTGGTACTTTACCAACTCTCTTGCGATTGGATTTAAGTTACAACCAAATCACAGTGGTTAGCTCGGGAGGATTATCTAGTCTTATATCGGTCAGAGAGATTGATGCATCTCATAATAGGATCAAGAAAATGTTTACGATTCCGATATCTCTGAATACTCTTCACCTTCAACATAACCAGATTGATACAATAAACTCAGGAACATTTCCAGTCATGAATGCCTTGCTTGAACTATACCTTGATTCAAACAAAATTAAATCATTGGAGCCTGGATCATTGGCCAGTCTGTTGGGATTAAGATCTCTTTCACTGCATAACAATAGTTTGTCAACTGTTCCAAGAGATGCTTTACAACAATTGACTTCTCTGTCTTATCTTGATCTGAGTAACAACAATATCACTCATCTCGAGGCGAAACAGTTTGGCTCGTTACCTGTTGTATTTGAGCTTTACCTCCAATCAAACAAGATCAATCAAATTGATAATGGAGCCTTCGAAGGATTACTCCAGCTAATTAAACTTAACCTGAGCAACAATGATTTGAAATTACTTGAGCCTGGAGTATTTAAGACTCTTGTTTCAGTGCGAACCTTAGATTTGTCATTCAACAAATTGAACAAACTGGAAAACAAGACACATGGTATTCTGGAAGATTTATTATCATTGGAAAATCTAAATGCTAGCCACAATTTAATTTCATTTGTCAACGATAGGACTTTTCCCCGATCTCCCTATATTCCATATAAAATAAGGAATGTTGATTTAAGTTACAATTACATTCCAACATTGACACCCATTTTTGACGATGGATTATGGCGAGTGGAAAGGTTGATACTTCGAGGAAACATAATCAACGAAATCAAGTCCAACGTGTTATCAAATATGACTGAGCTTCGAGAACTTGACCTTTCACATAATCAATTACGTAAACTAGAAAATGTTACTTTTGGTGTTAATATTTTAACCAAACTGGAATATTTGTCCATTGCTGAAAACAAGCTTTCATCTATCAATATGGTTGAAATTGAATCAATGAGATCCCTTAAAGTATTCAATATGAGCTTCAACAGATTCTCAGTTTTACCAAGTAAACCATTGGTTCGTATGCTTCGCCATGGAACACGGATTCTTCTTGATGGAAACCTGGTCAACTGTGATTGTGGTTTGTTGGATTATCTTCGGTGGCAAGTTGTTAAAAAGGCTGAACAAATTGTTACCAATGGCACTTTACTGGAAGGAAATGTAATCTGTGATAGTCCATCAGAAAGAAAAGGATTTACTTTGAATAAATTGAAGTATAAAATGTTCAAAGCTTGTGAGACGGACGATTTAGGAAGAACAATTGAAGGACATAATTTTGATCAGGAAGAACAGAGTAATTTACGATTCAAAGGAGTTGAAAAATTGCGAGGTCGACGAAACAGTATTCGTGTTGTTTGGTTTGTTGCTCGTCGAGATAAAGATATTTCTGGCTTTAAACTGACCATTTTATCTGGGGATGGTAAAGAAATTGAAACGGTTAATTTATCGTATGACAAACGAGAACATGTTTACAATAATTTTAAACTTGGTAGCGGCTTACGAATTTGTGTTCAATCGGTTGATTCAATGGGCAAAACGGAAACCGATTACTCGGATTGCATTGATGGACAGGTACGCAATGTGTTTGCTGAATTGAATCGACAACATTTAACACCAAAGTTGATCTCAAGTCATGCAAATCACTCTCAATTTACGGCTCATCAATTTGCTATCTTATTTACCGTTTTGGTCTATTTTGTCAACTTGATTGATTCTTTTCAATGATGAGAAGATGATTAAAGTATTTCAATAACATGCCATTAATAGCAGCATGAACGGTGATTAAATTCATAATTTGATGTTCCCTTTTATCCAGTGATTCATCTGCTCATCCTGATTCTGTTCATCCTTTCAACCATTATCAATTTAATCGAGCTAATGGCATCTAAATCGTTTGATTTTTGCTTCACTCATCTAAAATATCGACAAAAGCTACCTGTTACCTGCTAACAGTTACTTAATCAATCCTGATGCGATACTCTATAGTTAATTTCTAGTCTCTCACGTGAGTTTTTAATCCATCTGTCATCATCGTCATCATCATCATTATAGCCATTTTTCCCAAATCAATTTTATTCATTTTATTTTTAAATGCTAAAAAAATAAAATATGTTAACATGTTCCTGAATTACATGATGAATCTTGTTTATAGTTTATAAACAGATTGTTGGAAAGCTGGGTAACCTCTCACCATTTAAAGTGTTTAATCAGACAGTTGGATTTTTATCTAACACTTGTTTTTATTTGTAAAACATTTGATCAGATATTGGACTGAGAAAGGTAGCATTGAAAAGGAAATTCGAGTTTGATTGAAATAGAATAGTCAACATTAACGAATGCATTACATTTGGAGTATCATGAAAAACAAAAGATCCCATTTGATCTTTTATAGATAATTGAGCTAACCTGAAATGAAAAGTGAAATTATAAATAAAAGTGCTTATAACTGATGCTAAAATTGTCGAAATTTAACTGGTTTCTAAAAACAAATGTGATAATAAATGATTCACCAGACTGTGTCCATCAAAATAACCTTAGACCATCAATAACTCATATTAAAAAAATGATTGCTTGAAAGCATGAGAGTGAAACTAATTACTCTATTTACTACCTCTTAAGGCGACTTGATAGAATCAATTTTTTTCAATAAAATTACGCGAAAAGTTGTTTGACTTTCATTTGTACGTTATAAAAAGGATTAAATCTGTCACTGAAACAGAAAGATTAACTTGTAATTAATTTTTGGTGGAAAAAGTTGTCGAAAATGATGAATGGATTAAATGATAATGATGCTAATTGCTTGGAAAATAATAAGAACCACTGTATAAAGATAAGGTTTGAGATTTAATTTCACAATAAATATTCAAATTGAAGGCAATTAAGGCCTAAGGGTGCAGAATAATGAATGTTAAACATATTGTTTTAAAATAGATATAATTTGATAACAGAATCTTGATTGAGCAAGAGAGATATGAGCATATGTACAATTTATGAAACCATGCATCAAGAATTAAAAGAAAGAATAATAAAAATCTTACAGAACAAAGCTTTCGATGACATTTGCTGACAATTCACCGTTTCTTGTGCAAACAGCTTTTATTCTGTAAATGATCTGATTATTGAATACAAAAACAGGTATCAGCTGGATTATTTAGCAGCAAATAACGATAACATTGCATGACCAATGCACACTTGGTTGATGTATCCGAAAACGACAATTTGACAGTTGAATCAACATTTGTTGTTGGATGGATTATTATGAAGTATATTGCAGATGAGAAGGTAAAACAATTGGTTTAATTCACCAGAAAATATATATAAAGATGAGTCGATATGAGCATATTTTTGCTGACTAATTGAATGGATCTACAATTTATGAATTCATAGATCTAGTTATCAGATAATAAGAAAATATGAAGAAGGTGGTTAATCCTCCAGAAAGATAACACAGAAATCTCCTGTTATTTCTGCCCGAATTCAACAACCGATTGATCTTATTTTTTCCTCCAATAACATTTCCAATTAGGCCAACAAAATCGTCATTTACATCATCTAATAGTCGATTGTGCTCTTTAGTTTCTTGCTCAATGTCAACAGCAAACTGGTTTGGAAAGATATATTGATAAATGTCAAATATTAATAATAGAAGACTAAAAAACATAATTTAATTAAAAACTTACACTTTTCAACTGGGAAACTTTCTCAGCAAGTCTATCTGTCCGCAGACGATTATCTGTTTCGAGAAATTCTGAAAAAATCAAATAGGAAAGAGGTTAGTTATTAAAATAACATAGAAAGAGGGTTGAGTTTAGATTCCAATTTTCTCATTCTGAAATGTTATACAATAAAGTCAACTTTTTACTTACCTTCATTTCGTGAGTTCATTGCCTCAGTTTGAAATAAAACCTCATTGATTTACAAATTTCTTTAATGAATCAGTTTATTTAATTGTGAGTGTTAAAATAAAAAATGATTTCAATTGACAAACAGCTGATCACTAAACATTACATCAACAAGGCCGCGTCAACCCATGTACATGTAAGGGACCGAATATTAAATACGCTTGAAAATATTATAACTGTTAATCATTAAAATACGTCAACTATTTGCTTTCATGAGATTTAAATTAAAAACGTTACCATAGAATTTCGATTATCTATCATTCAATGTTATGATTCACATCGTAAATTTATTAAAAACTGTTTTTTATCTGTTTAATAAGAGGCAAGAGTAAAAATCAGGGAAGATTATCAAGACTATCATCTTATGACGGAAGATTGCACAAAGGTAAGATGAATAAATGAAGCAATGCAGTTAATAAAAGTAAAAATAAAAATTACTTAATGATTGCAAAGAATGGTTGAGTTAATTGTTATTTCCAATAAACACAGGCTTATAAAATGAATGCAAATAGCAAAATTCGCCGTTTTCGTGGTTTATATTCATCAATTATGATCAACAAAATTAGTATTTTCTATCTGTATTTACTGTTCAAGGTTTTGATTCTTTTTTTAAAAAAGTACAATTAACTCAGTTCAAATCCTGCTCCTGATTCAATAGCGTATAATAGTTTTTGTTTCAAGATGTTGGCATCGGCAAATTCACATAATTTGAGCAAATTCATACAAGTAGAAGCTGTTGGTAAACGATCTTCTTTACCCGCACATTGAATACAAAATGGAGGATGCAGGTCTTTGAAACCCAAAAGCGGTGGCCTCGAACAGCTTGTAACGAATTTAAGAAGTTTTCGGCGTTTTGTTTCATCAAATTCTTCAACAACTTGCCAAAATGCTTCTATTGTGGGATGAGTCGGTGAATAACCTCCAGAATAATTGACATGAGCTTTCAAGTCTTCAAGATCGATTGGTGTTTGTGCACCAGAGATTAAAGTTTGAAGTTCCCTTGGGTCAAACATACGAATCCAATCGAGATCAATAACATCTGCAAGTCCTTGCTTAAAGGCAGAACATTGACTTCGTATCTATAAAAAAGAAAAAATTGTAATAATTTTTCATACTCTTTTTATTATACAATTGCAATCGATACTCACTTGCTTATTTAATCGGTAATCGGCCATCAAGTGAATGTATTCAATCCGATTTTGAGCAGTAACCTGAATATTTGCACCTCCGGGTCTTAATTCAATTATCTGGTTTTCTCCTAAATCGCTGTTAACCACTGTGAAATCTAATCCTAATTCAGAAACATCACCTTCATAATTTTTCAAATAAACCAAATTTTTATACATAACTGGGTCTAAAGAAGCGAGATGGTGAACATCGATATCTGATGTTTGATGTTTTACCAATATTTTGACCAAAAAGAAAGGTGAAAAAGGTAATTCGACTAACATATTTTCATACAAAGCTTTTCCTAACATTCTTCCGATAAAGTAAAAATGATGCTGATGATTTTCCACAAGCATCTCAGAAGCAGGGTTAGGATAAAGAAGACGTTCATGAGTGGCTTTAAAGAAACCACGATTCGGATCAAAACATGTTTTTAGCAATTCGTTCAGAAATTCACGGAATATTCCACCTCCATCAATACCTGCTTCATCGAGACCTACAGCATTAACTAAAGTAACTCGGATTGGTTTCTTAAGATCTGGTTCATTTTCAGGTGATAATTTTTCAAATGCATCCTCATAGATGAAATTTCGTCTTATCATTATATCTATAGCACTACCAGGTACCATGAATCGATGACGCTCACCAATGTGATTTTCTTTATCTTTAGCCATGAGCGATTGCAATATTTTGACTCTATCATGAAAAGGAACCACAAAAGGTATTTCTTGCAAAATAGTTATATTTCTTATTTCAGAGGTTGATAAAGGAGGTCCTTGCTCTTCTAATTCCCTTTTGGTCAGCCTTCGAACACCTAAAAATTGTTGATACCTTCGACGTTGTCTGATTCCTATTTTAAAAATAGTCGGTTTCTCAACAGGAATGGAAATTTGACGACTTATCCAATGATTTGGTGGACAAAAGGCTCTTCTAGAATCTCTTATATACAAATGTCTCAATAAATTGACAGTCGATTTGAATAGTTTCAACCATTGTTTAACGAATTTGTCATCATCAATTTCTTCGTTACGAACACTTTTCATAGCTTGTCTATATTCTTCCTTGACTGAAAGTTTAGTATCATGATAAGCAAGCTCAATTAATCTGATACAGACATCTTTCAAAATCATGGTCATTTTCTGAAGCTCAACCAATGAGAAAGGCATTGATGAGTGTCGGTGAAGTGAGTGGCGATCTTCTTCTTCATAAAACTCAACATCATCCAGGGTGGGCAATAGATAACTGAAAAGTGCACAAAAAAGAGTGAATTGGGGTAAAAGTGTCCGCCAATCAACGGATGCTAAAGGTAAACCACGAGCAAGAAGTTGTAAGAGAGGAGTTGGTTGATCAAATATTGACGGTGTTGATATTTGGATGATGTAAGACCATAAATGACGAAGAAAGCTTGGTTTGAAAGCTAATGTATACAGTAACCTTTGGAAAAAAGATTAAGAAAGATTAATAAAATACGAATTAAACTTGGGAAATGAGTATATTATATTTAAATTACCTGAATTGATGCAGAGCAAATTTATGGAAAAAGAGAAGAGCATGGCAAACAGAAGAAAGAGCAATAAGTAAAATTTTGTTTGGAGATTTTGTGTCCACTAGAGAAATCAAACAGTTCACATGAGGAACCTCATTAATTAACTGAATTATTTGGTTAGCAACCACAATTAACTCTTGGTCGATCATGTATTCTCTATTTTCTCCTGGATCAGTCATTTCCACATCTTCATCTTCATCTTCAGGTGATTCTATATTTTGTTCAGGTAAGTACTGGCACAAAACTTGTAAAATAATTAAATATCTGAATTTATCAGATTTGGACATTAAATGTAGTTGGGGTGACACTAAGGCAACTACATTATACAACTGCCATAAATCACATTTTAATGCCAAACTATGCATTCCATTGACTTGATCTTCAGAATCGGGAAGTCGTCCAGGATATATTGATGAAAGGATTGATGATGGTGTTAGTGAAGCAGGTATTTGATGAATTAATTTTGGTATGACATGAAGTTTGACTTGAGGTGAAAGAGGACCAGATAAAAATTCAGAGAAAAATTTCAGAACAATAGTGGAATTTACTGTTTCTGAGCAGCTTCCATCAAGATCTAGAGGTCGAACTATTAGATTAAAAAGTGAATCTGCAATAGGAGTTGGTGCTTTAATTGTTTCCTCATATGGTTCTGGTACTTTTGAGTCAATTATTTCACGTAAATAGTGAAAATATCCATTAGAAGCTAAGTACGTCCATATATTTGTTAACATTCGTTGTCCTTTTTTCACATCACCCAAAGGAGTGTAAGTTTCCAGAGTTGTGTAGACCTCAATCAATCGAAGAGGCACAGCCACAGACAAGTTATTATCCGTCTTTAGAGATAAACAAAGTTGCTTAATGTTAGCAAACAACAGCTTCCTGATTCGATGAGACCATTGAATGGGATCTTGTAGAAGACATTCAATAACCAAACTTTTGAGCTTGATAAAGGTTTGTCCTAAGGATAGCTTTAATACAAAAGATAAAAGAAATAATAATAGATAACACAAAGAAACAGCCAACGACTTACCAGGCGAGAACCGTCAGATGATGGATGATAGAATAGAAGCAGCCGTTGGCATGTATTGGTTAAGAAAACATTACAATTTTTTTGACAATTGGTCAATCTGTTGAATTCTTGATCAAATTGTTGTCTGAGTTCATTAAACTTGATATGTTAGAGAGAGGGAGAGAGAAAAATGTACATTACTAATTATGAATATAAATATACAATGATATCACTATATGAAAATAAATTAGCAAAACTTACCAAACGTTTGCGGATTAAATAGCTACGAAAGACAGATTGGATTTTTGTGACTGCATGAATTTGCTTTCGTAAAGTCTGTTGAAAAAAATTATAGATATGAATCAAGTTGTTCAATTGGACCCTTAAAAGATAAATACTCACTTCTCTTTGTCTGCGTTCTTCTGCATTTTTCTGAATCAACTGTTCCCTTGTTAACTGTCAAAACGAAATAGAATCGATGCCAAAGAGTGATTAAAAGGTTCATGTTTTTCAATTGAGATCAGGAATGATTATTTACCTTTTTCGATGCTCCTCCAAGTCTTTGTTCAGGTTTTGATTTGAAATTTCCTTCAAAGCTAAACATGATAAATGGTCGGAGATAACTTAGGATTCTAATGGGTTATGATGCTTCAATTGGGCCAAAATGGTATTGCGTTTAACTAATGGTAAAAGATAGACAATATAAGACACAATTATTAGAAATTATAAATAAAACCATTCCTGGTTACCAAAAAAACTAACTGGTTCATGTCAAAAAAATTGGAGTGAGTGAAAAATTTACATTACAGATGAAAAACTAATGAGCTAAATGTAAACATTGAAGCAATAGAATTATCAAGATTATTATTGTCAAGATTAACCTTTGACATGTGTAAAATCAAATACTTACATTAATATCCAAAAAGTGAAGACTAAAAAGCTATTAACAGAGATACCATTAATCACAATCAAAACTCTTTAAATGTAAAAACTATTGCTACCATCAGCTGATAGAACTTCATTCAAAATAAAAAAAAATTAGATGGCGCCAAGATCGAAATTATATTGTAAATTAATTGTTTGAAAATCATCAAATATTCAATTTTACTTAAACCTATCACATAAACAATTGAAAAAAATCCATTGTTAATTCATAAAAACAGGTTTTTTGATTGGGTTAATGTTTCAGCTTCTCTTCCAAAATATATTCATAAATAATTGAGTTCAATTCACACCACTGTGTGCATAATAAAGGATGTAAGGATCAAGTTCCAACTATCATTCAATTGACTAACACAATCATTGTTTTTAAGTTAAAGTGAAGAAATGTCTCGATTACGATTGAAATGCGAAAAGTAAGATAATTCATTGAAATTATTTTTGAGCTTTTCGTCCCGTTTCACCAATATTTTCAGAAATGGAATAAAATTTAGGAAAAATAAATTGAATTGAGAGGCAAATTATATTGTTTTGTAAATAAATTAATGATTTATTTGTCCATTTGATTCTTTAGAAAATTTCAGAAGATCAGAAATTTATGGCGGAATGGTTTGAGGAAGGAAAAGAGAGACGAGTAACTGAGAATCATCGTAATCTGACGGTCTAAATCATAAGTATTTATCGGCCGTAACCAGCACCAGATCCAGCACCGAAACCAGATCCACCTCCGTAGCCTGGTGCACCATAGCCTGATCCAGCACCGAAACCACTTCCATAGCCGGCTCCATTTGGTCCATAACCTTGTCCAGCACCAAAACCTGAACCGTATCCAGCTCCGAAACCTGGACCACCGAATCCTAAATGAAGCAATGAGAAAGGCAAACAAATGGGTTAGATATTGAAATTGAAATTTTTATATTTCTGATTATTTTATGAATAAAAGAGATTGAAACTTACCACCGCCGGAACCAGCTCCGAATCCTGAACCATAGCTACCTCTTGGGTATGGGTATGGGTATGGGAAGGCTAAGGTAAGAGTGATCAAAGAGAGGACGAGAAGGATAACGGACTTGATCATTTTGAATTGAGTTGGGTTTGTTGTGGGTTTCAAGAGAAAAGTTGAGATGAGTTTCAGGATAGAACTTGGAAACAACTGAAGATACTTTTTACTCTCGTCAGCCCTTTACATATATACATATTCTGGGACTGAGAGAGCTAGGGGAATCATGGGGAAGATGATCAAGATAATGGAGGGAGAATAGGTGAAAGAGAAGGAAAAGTGGGAAGAAAAAGGTAGAAAGTGAGAGTAAAAAGGGTTAGCCCAAGATGAATTCAGTTCTGGGTTTTCTTGAAAATTGCTAGTGAAAAAAAGTGATAAAACTGGCTTTGGAAAAAGAAACAAGATGAAGAAAAAAGATGGAAATGAAGATGATAATTAGTTAGGAAAGAGATGAGAATAGAACTGAAACTGAGAAGCGTCATGGATGAAAATTTAATCCTACAGCTACAGAATACGCAATTAATAACGAAAGATTAATTACCTTTGATTGTAAGGTCGATATTATTCAAGTATAGTTGTAAGCCTTTTTCTCATGACAACATTAATTGTGCATCAGCAAGTTACAAAACGTTGACCTTTCATTATGACCCAGGCATGATAGTAACATGATTCAAAATTAACTTTCACTATTTCCTATCAATAGATGAACTGGATAAACTTGTTATTCCAATTGCCAAACAAGCTTCTAGACCATCTTAAAAATGACGAGATAGTCTCACATGAGCCCGTTTTACATGGCCATTTATCACTATTTGTCAACTTTCTTTTTTTTGAAATGACAGGTGAATAAGATATTCGCATCAAAATAATTAAATAATTGAACAAAAATGGTTTTAAAATGGTCAATCCAATAGGCGGCGCCAACACGAAATTCTACCAAGTTATGAAGTACTCTAGTGTAGTTGGTAACAAGCTCTAGTATAATATTACCATCAATGCACTAGTCTTCAGACACGATGAGATCAATAACATCAGCTATTCCGCGCTTGGAAACAAAACATTGAATCAGCTAAAATCTTCTAGAAGAAATGATAAAAAATACAAATGAAAAATATCGAAAATCGTCAAGAAATAAATTGAAATTTTCTTATTTTAAAGGTTGTGTTCAATGAAAAGGACTCACAAAATTTCCTGCACACTCTATACCCAAAGATCAGAGTTGAGTAATGATACTCTGATTTATTTCTTGATTGCTTCAGATTTCAATAATTTAAAATTTAAATTAATTTACTTTTCCTGTCAACTTCGAAAAATTTCTCTGCATGAATCTACAATTCTAGGAACAACAGCAACAAGTCATCCATGGACATAATGTGTTCCTGGTACTTACCTGATTTAGTTTCTGACGATAAATGAAATTTATCCAATTGGTAAAACCATTGAGTAAAAAATATCCAAATATTGATTGGTAAACAGGTAGAATTACCTTGTTATTAGTTTATCATTAAATAATTACAATACAATAATTAGCTTTTTTTCTAGTCTTTAGTTATCTGCCTAAGATGGCGCCAACATCGATGTTTTAATTTTTCAAGCTTAACAATCCCTACATTAGACATTATTACATTGGATACAATATGAAAAATTAAAAGCAAAATCTTAATGTAAAATATTTATTTAAAAATTACTTTTAGTCGAATTGTCAGTGAAACTTTCTTTTTCAACCCTGTTTTCACATGAAATTGAGTTCAGATAGCATAAACATATCACAATAATGTCGCAGCTTCTCAGAACCTATTTAAGTTACCTTTCAACTCTAATTATATTTGTGTTAACCAAGTCTTGCTGTCAAGGCTTAATCAAGCTCTTGAGGGAAAGTCCCCGGACCAATTGAGAGAGTCTTTTCTTTAACAAGATTACATTCTCATTGAATTCAATTGCCGAGAAGATGAATCAATCTGAGCCTAGTTGAAGTTCAATGAATTCAATGGTCTACATTGAAAGTAAAATGCAAGAAGCATTCCTAATCAGGAATGTCAACAGAATGGGGCTTACTCTGGTTTAACACACTTTTTGTTGATTCGCTTATCGCCTGTGTTTACCTGAACATTTTAAATTTCATTTTTACTTTATTATCTGGTAAAGAAACCGAATGAAGATCGTGTTGCAACTTTTATTGGTGAAATACCTTTAGGACCTTTTCGAGTGAAATTATACTGCTATTAGATTATTACCAGTTCATCTTACCAAGCTGTGACGATCTCTGGGACGTTGCTAAATGACAGCATCAACTTTCACTGGAATGACTAACCTGGAATCACTGGATTTGAGCAATAACCTTTTGACTAAACTGGAGCGAAATGTCTTCAAAGAAACCAAAAAACTGAAATCACTGGATGTTTCTTATAATAAGGTGACTGAGCTTGGAAAGTCGGATTTGACTGATTTAATCAATTTATTCTCCTTCAACTGTTCACATAACAAAATTGCCAAGCTAGGACGATCTCTTCTCAGTCGTAATGCTCAGCTGAGAGAAATCAATTTATCTCACAATCAATTGAAGGAAATTGATTCTTACCTATTGAAAGGAGTTCGTTTCTTGAAGGATATCAACTTGCAAGGCAACAATATAACAACTATTGCCAAAAACGCCTTCAAAAACGCCATTGGTTCGTATGCTTCGCCATGGAACACGGATTCTTCTTGATGGAAACCTGGTCAGCTGTGATTGTGGTTTGTTGGATTATCTTCGGTGGCAAGTTGTTAAAAAGGCTGAACAAGGCAACAACATAACAACTATTGCCAAAAACGCTTTCAGTTCAACTACTCGATTAAAAAACTTGAACCTGGCTTATAACCAACTGGTCGAGTTGACCCAAGAAGTATTTAAAGATCTTCAAGGGTTAGATCGATTGGATTTGTCACATAATGGAATCAAAACAATTGAAAGAGCTTCAGAGAGAGGTTGATGCATCTCATAATAGGATCAAAAAATGTTCACGATTCCAATATCTCTGAATACTCTTCACCTTCAACATAACCAGATTGATACAATAAACTCAGGAACATTTCCAACCATGAACGCCTTGCTTGAACTATACCTTGATTCAAACAAAATTAAATCATTGGAACCTGGATCATTGGCTAGTCTGTTGGGTTTAAGATCTCTTTCACTTCATAACAATAGTTTGTCAACGGTTCCAAGAGATGCTTTACAACAATTGACTTCTCTGTCTTATCTTGATCTGAGTAACAACAATATCACTCATCTCGAGGCGAAACAGTTTGGCTCGTTACCTGTTGTATTTGAGCTTTACCTTCAATCAAACAAGATTAATCAAATTGATAATGGAGCCTTTGAAGGATTACTCCAGCTAATTAAACTTAACCTGAGCAACAATGATTTGAAATTACTTGAGCCTGGAGTATTTAAGACTCTTGTTTCAGTGCGAACCTTAGATTTGTCATTCAACAAATTGAACAAACTGGAAAACAAGACTCATGGTATTCTGGAAGATTTATTATCATTGGAAAATCTAAATGCTAGCCACAATTTAATTTCATTTGTCAATGATAGGACTTTTCCCCGATCTCCTTATATTCCTTACAATTACATCCCAACATTGACACCCATTTTTGACCATGGATTATGGCGAGTGGAAAGATTGATACTCCGAGGAAACATAATCAATGAAATCAAGTCCAACGTGTTATCAAATATGACTGAGCTTCGAGAACATATTGGAATATTTGTCCATTGCTGAAAACAAGCTTTCATCTATCAATATGGTTGAAATTGAATCAATGAGATCCCTTAAAGTATTCAATATGAGTTTCAACAGATTCTCAGTTTTACCAAGTAAACCATTGGTTCGTATGCTTCGCCATGGAACACGGATTCTTCTTGATGGAAACCTGGTTAACTGTGATTGTGGTTTGTTGGATTATCTTCGGTGGCAAGTTTAACAACTAAAAAGGCTGATCAAGGCAACAACATAACAACTATTGCCAAAAACGCTTTCAGTTCAACTACTCGATTAAAAAACTTGAACCTGGCTTATAACCAACTGGTCGAGTTGACCCAAGAAGTATTTAAAGATCTTCAATGGTTAGATCGATTGGATTTGTCACATAATGGAATCAAAACAATTGAAAGAGCTTCAATGACTAAGATGTATAAAGTTGCTATTGATTTAAGTTACAATGGACTTGAAAAGATTGAACCAGGAAGCTTTCTCGATTTAGCTAATGTTACAACCCTTAATCTTTCCTACAACAATCTCACCTTACTGCTTAACTTGGCCTTCGAGAATTCGGATGTTACCAATCTATTACTTGACCGGATCACAACTACATTGTCGATTTAACTAAAATCCTCATCTCTAATTTAATTTAGTTTTGCTCGTTACCTGTTATATTGGAACTTTACCTACAATCAAACAAGATCAACTGACTAATGACTAACATGTTTTGCTGACTGATCACTCGGTTTCAACTTTTCTATTCAAAGCTTTGGATCAGTTAATTCGATATGGAGAAATTAGGGAATTGACAGAAGAATACTTGACTTCATTCACTCCAATAATTCGCATTGGTTTAATTCATACACAAGGAATTGTGTTACTGTTAAGCTACACGATCGCGATACATTGAAGGATTTAGATTCGACCTAATTAACTTGAAAGGAAGAATATAATTTTATTGAGTTTTTCAATTAGAATCACACAAATTAAGAAGATTTTTCAGTTTTACTAAATTAGTCTATGAAATGATTCCCTGCCTAAAAGCAAATTTGAATGCAATGAATCCACCAGCAAACGCCAAAATAAATATCATTGTGCTCAATCCAATTGTCAAGTTAAAGTTATTTGATTTTTTTGGTGATTCAGATGGCTGTGGATCAGTTTTACTCTTTCCTGTAATCTTCCTGTGATTTATGTAAATTGAACAAATTTTGTTGTTGCTCTTTGATTCTTCAAATAGTCCAGGTTGATTAGCATTACTTGGCTTCAAGTTTGTCCATGAACAACTCGTCAATGAAACACTGCTTTCATCATTTTCATTTAAATCAATTAATTGACAAAATTCAAAAGTAAAACAATTAGCATCTGAATTACATTTGGAAGCACAGTGTTCTAATGATAGAGGATCAAAATTTCTCACAATTGATTCTTTCATATTATCATTCAGGGCAAGTCCAACTTTATGTTCATAATGGAGTTCAGATTTTATGTAAAGTAAAAAAATTGAAAGATTAGTAAATCTTTAAATTAATTTTGGATCAAAGTAAAGGTTTTTACTTGAATAATGGGAACATCCAGCTTCAGCAAACTTTCAGTTTGTTATATTTATTTCATGAACTTTATCTATCTCAATGTGGTTAACATGTAAGAAGTAGACAGATTCATTTCTGAAAGGAATTGGGATAAAAAATAATAAAAAAGAAACTCATTATTATATACTTCGAAATCAGAGATCTGAGATCCCAATATTTGTGTGTTGCTCATTCAAAATCTTGTGATCGATCTGGTGAATCTCTCAGGTTGAGATAATTACCAGTTCATCTTACCGGTTATTATTGTTTTTCACCGTAATCAACGACTGAGCACATCTTTTAGCCCAATCACCAATTGTTACATCGATATGGTTGAAACGGCATCTAAACGATATCTTACAACTAGACTTTTTCCAGAATACTAATGGAATAGATTAATAAATGATTCTAAATTGAAGTTGAGGAAAAAATTAGTTCAATAAACACAAATTAATATGTTAATATGGTATTTACTTTGATAGATGTTACATCCATCTGCATGACTTATTTTGTCTTCGAGTGTGTCTTTCAATGAACTCGATGTTTATCCACTCAGAATACATTCCTTATTCTGGTTCACACAATATGAAAGTGTATTGCAATCATCATCATTGGAACAAGCCATGAAACAATCCTGAAGAGTGCCTTTCTCAATCTTGAATTGTGCTTAGCATTGAAATGGCGATCACTTTTAAGGATCGGAAAATCTTCAGCTCTCAAAGGTCTGGAACCCCGTCTATGTAGTTGCTGGGAAATATCACCAATCTCTCCAGGTCCATTCACAATGAACAAATCTTTAGCTGATAGCCCAATGGACAACGAAATTCGCCTGATGAGACTGTATTCCTTATCTGTCCCGACACGTGTGACATGGTCGATAAATAATTTGCATTTATTAATGGTGCAACAGCGGATTTAGCTGGTAACAGCTCATAAGAAGTGCAGTCGCCATTGAACTTTAATGTGATTCTAACCAAATTAGTACTTTGATGCATTAAACAATCATTATTGGAACAAAAGCTAAAATGATAACACTTTTAAGTTGCACTGAAATATTAACTTATTAAAATCAAAATTGGATAATCGGCCTCAAAATGGCTTTGAAGTTTTTTCGATTGTTTTTACCGATATCTTTCGATCTATTAGTCCCAGAGAAAAATTGATAAAATCATTGAGATTCTCTCACTGAGATCTATCTTCATATGAAGTTTCAAAATAATCGAAGAGGAGGCAGATTTCACTCTGGCCCTTACTGGAAATGACATGAAGTAGACTTTTTCTTAAGTTAGAGATTAAAAAGATAAATAGAATTCTCAATCTTTATTAGACCCTTTTCTCTTTCCCTTAACTTAACCCTTTTCAATGCGGATCGCTGAAAAAATTATTCCCATTATCTGGAACATTACTGTACAGGGTGTACAATGGTTTGAACCATACTGCTTTTCATGTCATTTTATATCTAAAAATTAGTTTGAAAAAATTTATTTCTTAGGCGAATTCCGTCCGCCTTTTTTTCGAACACTTTTCATTAGATTGAGTTCAGAATGAATTTCCACTTGTAGATAATTTAATTTCTAGAATCAATGAAATGACAAGCTAGATATTTTTCTTCGATCGTCCTCTATCGATTGCCACCTCATTCAGTAAAATCGGTTCTAGGTATCTCGTTTAGTTCCCTTGTGAGTTAACATACTTCTAAGATTCATTGATCCAATGGACCATTTCACTACGATATAACCTTGACAAAGAAAAAAAATAAACTCATTCAATGTAAATCTTTTTTAGATCCACACGACAGTTTATCTCACGCTTTTCTTGATTTACCATATGATTAGTAATCATTGATAAACCTTTTCAGGCTACACTGGTGTTACGACTGATGTTTCAACTTGTGATGAAGATAATAAAGATCAAGGTTTGATTAATTGTCACCAAAGCCTCTTCCATTATCTGAGTTACATTTTATTATCAAACAAAAGCTGTGATAAGTTTTACATAAAAAATTACTCTTTTCGAGAGTCCATTTCATTTGGCCTTATCTATTACATTTGTTTTTGAATATAAATAAACTTTGTATCTGAAGTGCCTTCCATTGATTTTACACAATTAAATCTTTGAATTATCCATTTTCTGGAGCCTTTGCTTCTTTGTGCACTAAAAACACACGCAAATTTCTGGAAACTTACAATATCATGACTGTAATTGACTTGAATTTTAGATAGTTTTAATGTGAACGATAATATTAATGATTTGGTTTATTATCACAGAAAAGTTACAATGAACAATGGCCATTTCTGAGAAACATCAATGTAACAGCACACAGGGAAGCTTGACCTTTGCTCTTTTATATTTACTTATCACAAATTTTGCCTCGATTAGAATGCTTAAAGGGTAAAATTTCAATTTTTATTATTTCCTGATTCCTAGAATTGGGACCAGAATTTAAGTTCATTTTATTAGGTGATTGTTCCTTCGACAATAACAAGATCGCATGATTTTTGCACAATAGGAGTAAAGTAGTGAATAGAAAAATATTAATCAAATTTTCATTGTATCCAATTTAGTATCATATCAACAGATTCGATATAAATATGCCTTTGAAAAATCATTCAATATTCAATTGAACAAGAAATTGATATTTCTCGAGTTTTACTTTTAATTTTTGTTTCAAAATGTTTCCAAAAGTATTCTTATTGCTTTTACTCTCGTTGTTTAATGTTGAATTTTCAAGTCAAACGATCATTGAAAGAAAGTGTAATGACAAATATGAACCAACTAGATACGACCTAATTACCTATGGTGGTGATCTGGGGTTAACAGCCGTTTTCCAAATGGAATCAACAAATGCTTTTGAGCCAATATTAAGTGTGGAGATGAGGCAGTACACTAACGAAAGTTCGGATTACATTACTTTTGAAATCGAAGACGAGTCAATTTATTCAACTTACGTGTTCAAATATCAACATTATGCTAATATTAAACCAACTTGCAGCTCTGGTTTTATGCGTTACGAAGAAGAATCTAATTGCATTATAAACCAAGATACATGTAAGTGTCTTATAAAGGTAAATACTCTGATCGAGAGTGAAAAAAACCCTGAAATATCATTAATAGACATGATTGCCCAGCCGAAAGTCACGAAAATTACGATTTCAAATGCCCTAAGTCGTGATATTGTTAAAGATGCGACTGGTCTTCCGATATATCAATGGTCATATGCTCGATACTGTGAATACAACAAGAAAATATACGATATTGATGGCAATATGATAACTTTGAAGAAAGAAAACGGTTCATTTGAATTGTTCATCTACCGCCTTTTTAAGAGCGAACTCGAGAACCCAAGACAATTAACCTTGATCAATTCAAAAAACAGTTCAATATCTATATTTTGTGATGATGATAAAAATGACATTATTGCTTTGACTAAAACTGGATCCAAGGAAGAGTCAGTGTTGGACAAATATATATTTAGAAAGTACATCGATAGACTTCGATGTGGCATCTCTTTGTCGCTCGAAATGGAAAGCGAACATTCATCATTTTCTTTCAATGATGTACCATTGAAACTTATTTATAAGCATAAGGGTTCTGATAATATAATACAAGAAGTAATATTTGAGTCTGATTTCATTGATGCACATTCACCTGAAATTGAAACAACTTCAACAGCTTCTGTGGATGAACATGATGTTGTCAATGAAAACCAGGAACATGATAAAGTTAATCCTTTAATAGGAGTTGCCTTGACTATTATAACTTTAGTTAAATCTTATTTCGATCTTTGGTGATCAATAAACTAGATTTCAGTGATTAAAATAACTAATTTACTCGAATCGCTTAAATTTGTTATCAATCCTCATGGTAAAGTTTCAGAGATTTATTGCTCAGTGATTTGATATGGAATATTAAATAAAAAAAATTCGCACCAATTTTTGCAATTCATTATTAATCTTACTTTCGATGCAACCTTTATTCATCAGAAATTCTGTTCTCCTACAACTTGGCTCGCTTTAATTTCACATACATGTGCTTCCTTGCTGATAGAGCTACACTGGCAATTATATAAAGAAATGATCTGGTATCAAGAAGCATCAGAATGAATGAGTTGAACCATTGAAGGTTGATGAAGTCAGTATTAATAGCTAAGAAGGAGCATCAGAATCTATGAGTTGAAGACCATCGCAGGCATAGGCTCTGTTGGAAACAAAAAAACCGTCGTTTTTTGTCTCATTAGCACTGATCGTACGTCATACTTCCTGTCACCATTACATTAAACTCCCATTGCAGGGAAGGAAATACTAAAGAGCTGAAAAAACTGTATCTGAAGTCTTTGTATCTTTGTACCAATTTTCGATATTTCATTATTAATTTTACTTTCGATGCAACCTTCATTCATCAGAAATTCTGGTCATCTTTAAACTTGGCTCTTTATCCAAACAACGACCATGTTTTTGGCTTTAAATCTCAAAAAGGGTGAAAGGAGGGTCTCTCATTTTTTCACCTTTTAATTTTTTTGAGTCAAGATCTCAACTTTTTTTGAGAATAGATTCAACAAAATTACAAAAATCTTGTTCATTTTTTCTGAGATCATCGGTTTTTGAGATTTTTAAGATCAAAGTGCGCAAATTTTGGGTCTGATGCAGGCCATACTGTATCATATTTTATTATCATATTTGAGATACATGAATGTTACATGAATATTTCATAGTAGAAGCAAGGATTAAAATTGAAATCGGGTCTAATGTTTCTTTTTATTTCGAAGGTAAAATATTAATATATCGAAGCTAATGTCCAGTTCCCAATAAGCTTTAGTTACTTATTGTTTATTGAAATCTCAAAGTTTGAAAGTAAAAGTTGTAATAAACATATTTTGACTTGGAGTCAACTCGCTTTTTAACTGTTCGAGTTGCCTTCATTGAAATGACCTGCTGAGTTTCAATCCATTCAAGATAATACCACGAGAACCGATAAGGAAATGAAGTATCAAGATCAATCTTAATCACTCAATTACAATTGATTTTCAACACCTTTGCTTGGTCTTGCTGGGCTAGCGCAACGAAATTTCTTGACACAATTTTCCAATTTCAGATCAATCTCTTAGGTGTAAATTGGATAATCAAACCAATACTCTTAAATTTAATTTATTGAACTTCAAAAATTTGACTTGAACTCTTGGTTTTCTACAACAAATTGTTCTCTGGGGCAACTTCACTCAAAGGAATACCATGCGGCTGATGATTTTGAGATCGGGTTCGTCTTCTCACGTAAAGGGCTACGAAAACAAAGGCCAAGACAAGTGTCACTGCTCCAAGTAAAATTAATGATACTGGAATGAGAAAATCAAATTTAAGTAAGTAATTAAGTTTGCGAGTGTTGATTAATCAGAATTTACCTGAACCAAAAGTGACTCCTCGAGATTTTTGAACTTCAATATTAGAAACAGTAATAGGGTTATCTTTATTAGGTGTCGTTAGTTCGGAAACAGTCGTAGTTACTGCAGTTTGAGGAGATGGTTCAATTGTAGATATTGGTTCATAATCTTCAGTAATGATTTGTTCATAATATTCTGTAGTTATTGGTTGTTCAGTTTCTGGTTTACTGGTAGTCGTAGTAGGATCGTTAATGGGATCACAATCTATTAATTGAAAAGATGCTAGTCCACTATGTACTCTCGTATCATCAGTTGATTCAACATCTAAAACAAATTGAATGTAATAACCTGGGTCAAGTGATCCAACCTCTAATGACTTGTCTTTCCATTCATTTGTATGATCTAAATCAAACACCTTTTTTGAACTTGATTCCAGACCATTTCTTAATCTAACTGTCATTGTAGCTCTATCAGCAAGGAAATATGTGAAATTAAAGCGACAGTCAATTGAGGTTTTACCAAGTCTTGGTGATTTAAGGATAGTTCGAAGGTTGTTTGAACGTTTTTCTGGAACTATGAAATTTATTGGTTTATTTTTTTCTGGTATTTTAGCATCATTCTTATTTCCATTGTATTTGTCAAAAGTAACCCAATCGTTTTCACCTTGATTGGTCCAACCACAAAGAGATTGACTATCAAATTCACAAGGACCACAATAAAATTCATCAATGCCATCCAAACAATCAATATTGTGATCACACAATTTATCATTCGTGAGACAAACTGACCCAACATTTGTTTTGCAACGAAATTCATTTTTAGGACAGCCAGATTGTATGTTATTAAATGGATCTTCAGATTTATCAAAACATGAACCACTAATAACAATGTCATCGATAACAGCATAATAATTGCTCTGGTAATTTCCTTGATCAGATTCTGAATATCTAGCCGTGAAAACGAAATTGAATGGAACTGAAATGTCACCCTTTTTAAGGTTTATAAGTTTACGTTTAAAACCAAAAACATCATCAGATGGTAACTCAAGTAACTGGGTATAATTAGAGTTACTATCAACAAGTGAAACTAAAAGAGTGACTCCAGCGGTATTATAATAGAAGACCATTGAACAATTATCAACTGATGTTAACTCTGGACTGGCTAATTTAATTTCTTTACTCTCGGAACCATCCATTAGATGATCTTTCTCTGGATAAAAAGCCATGTAATGCGATTCATCTAATCCTTTCGAATGGTCTCTTGTTGGTATTACAATATTTTGTTCACCAGCTTTAGCCAAACGCCATTTTGACTTTTCATTTGATAAATTAGTCCAGTATTCAGCTTCACTGCTGTCTTCAAATGAGTAAATCCTGTAATTTTCACAATTCAATTCATCATCGCCATCAAAACAATCAATGGATAGATCACATAGTTGATCTTTACCTATGCGTCTGCCATTTTTACAAGTATAAAACGGTTCGAAGTTATCAATAGTATCCTGGTAGCCACAGTCAATAAACTTCAACGGACCAAAACTTATTGAATATTCACTGCTTGTCAAGTGAGTGACGAATTCAAGTTGGAATGGAACTGGTATTCGGCCTAAGTTGATTTCAGCAATGCCATTCCGAATAGATTTAAACATCAAATCATGCCACACTTCAATCTTATGTTCAACTATGAATAGCAAGAGCACCTTGAGATTTTTAAATTCCCTTTGATCATTCGAGTAATTAAACTGCAATTTACAAGTTGGTGCAGTTGGTTTTAAAAATGCACTTGTCTTTCGATCAGTCCCTTTTGAGCTTGATGAGATGTTCGCTATCGTCTCACATTTTTCGGGAAGAGTGTCGTCGAAATAGCCAAATTCGCGTATATATGAATATTCGTATGAACAAAGTCCACAATTATGCTCATCTTCACCTGTCATACAATCTCCAATGAAATCACAGACTTGATTTTGGGATAATTGCATGCCATTTCTACAAACGAAAGAATCAGCACAGGTACCCATGTCAATGCGAATGTCATCAATAGCAACACCACCAGTTCCCACAAGATAAATACGCGCATCTTTGGATAAATTGGGATTGAACTTGATTGGTGTCACAACCTTTTCCCAAACAAGTTCCTTTACCATTGAGACTTTTTGAATGAGTTTAAACACTCCACCTTGTTCAGTGATGATTTCAATAGCATACATGTATTTTAAAGAGTCACCCAAGTATCTAATATGGAAAGATAGACACATTTCAGCTGTTTTTTCAGACAGGTAGATCGGAGGGAACAGGAGAATCGCGATATCATTATAGCTCTTCGGAGATATGTAGTGCCCATTGGTAGTGCCTAATGTTTTGTCTTCTCTATATTTTTCTGCCTTCCTACGATCCCATTTGGTTGTTGCTGCGTATTCTTGGCTAGATCCAGTTAAAACGAATGATCTATCTTTATCAAGATTATTCCATGAACAGTCCGTCTCAAAATCGCAATAATAATTATAATCAATCGAACAACTTCCTTCAGTCATTTCTAATCCTTCAATAATAATTGTTCCTTGAGAATTGACTGTGTGACTTGCACCAAAAATTAATTTACTTTCTTCATCAAAAATATCATCCAATTGTATTGTTGCCTGATCCCAGTTGGAACCAAAATGACTGTTTAATGTGGCGATAGAGGGTTTACGAAGATACTGATTAAAATCTGAGTCCATTTTATCAGTCCATAATTTCAGTTCAATATTTCCAGTGATTGAATACCAGAATTTTAGACAGTATTTAACATTTGGCTTCAAATTGGAAATGTAAAAGTAAGAAAATGAACTAATATCACGAAAATCAACTGGTTCATCGAAAAATAAAACAAAGTCGTTTTTAAATTTGTAATCAAGGTCCGAAGATTTAGGTAATTGACTGGGCTTCTTGAAGAGCCAATTGTTAAATGCAGAGGGAACAATTTTAATACATTTTCGATCAATCAAACCATGATGGAAACAAACAGGAGTCTCTTGATATGCACAATCGTTAACCACAATATTGTCAATAGCTGCAAACAGTTGAACTCCACTGAATTCAAATGAAAATTTAAACAACTGACCAGAATCAGATAGAGGTAATTCCACTGTTTTCCATTTCTCTTCTGATTTTACAGGATTTAATGACTGGATTTGATCTCTGGCTGATGTCTCATTCGAAGTTACTTTTATCAAAAATTTTCCTTTCCGTTCAAAGGTTAAGGCATATGAAAAAGATAAACAGGTTTTATTTTCAGTTCTTTCAATAAAAGGACTTTCCAATGAGTACGAAACTAACTCATCATTTTTTGGTGTATTTGTATAAACAAATAAATCATAAGGGTCAATATTTTTAAGTGGTGTCCAATTGATTGCCGCAGGATCAGGCAGTCGTCCAAAACCAACCAGTAATTCCCCGCTCTTAATTGTATAATCACATAAACCATAATCAAAGTTACAGTAACCGTGAGATGAGCAAGGTTCAGGACTAACTGCTAACTCATCTATCGCTATTGGAGTTGATCTTTCTGAGTGTCGAGAGGCTGTAAGGATTAATTTAATATCATCTAGAGAAGGTAAGTCTACATTGACTTTAACCCATTGTTGATTGGTAACATATGGTTGAGACCAGACGGTGGAGCGTGAACCTGATCTGGATTCAATGTCAAGTTGAAGAGTGTCCGAAGGATATTGTTGCTTGAAAAGTTTGAATGATAAACATTTAGCTTCATTTGATGATAAGTAAATTGTTGAGATTAGATCACTAGATGAACCAATAAGTCCATTTGTTGGAGTTCTCATGAAATGTCCAGCTTCAGTATTAGTTGTTGCATCGTAACCAACTAAATCATGTTGAGAGTTTGATCCATTTGACACAAACCATCGGAAATTACTTTTATGGTCAGGTTCAATTAACCAAAAACATAAAGATGGATCTTCAAAATCGCACTTATAATCAAAATCACAAGAACCAGGTTTAACTGATATTGAACTCAAAGCAATATCGTCTGATGTTGCTACAAACTTTAACCTAAACATGTCACCATTGTGCTGTGAAGGATCAAAATGATATTTACCAAGGATCCAACCATCATATTTGGATCCTTCTTGCTTCCAAACACTTTGTCCTATTGAGTTGAATTTTGAAATATCATCTCCAATTACCGATTCTAATTGTAGTTCTAGAGATCCAACTGATAAACCAAACATGAAACAACTAAAGATGAAACAAAAGGGTTCTTTATCATATAATATTGGCGACTCTAGTTCACTTCTTTTGGTTGGACTTTTGGAATAAATGAATCCATCTAAATATTAATAACAAGGAAAAATGGAAATGCAAAATATGTTTCTATGAATTTAATTGTTTGTTAATTAATATGTTTTCCTACCATTTTCAATTTGCTTAGCTGGTTGTCCAAACCCAGATTGATCATAATAGCTATAACCACCCAAAACCCAGCCATTTGAGCCTAGATCTTTCCATTGGCAAAAATTTTCAGTAAACTTACATTCCAATATTTGAACGTTTTCTAAAAGTCCTCCTGTAAAGATACCAAAAATCAGAAGGTAAGTCAAACTTAACCATTAAAACCTCTCTTCAACATCTTCTATGCGAACCTATTGTATCTTTCAATCAGTCTTGAGATCACCTTCCGATCAAAAGTCTTACTAATTTTATTATATTTGAGCTCATTGAAACTTGACTAAACATTCAGACCAAGTTTAATTAACCAGAAAATATCCAATCTTTTATTGCAAGTAAATAGTTATAAATCGATTCTGTTTAACATGCAAACTGAGAACAGAAATGAACCTCTGAAAAAAAGATAAACCTTCATCTTATTTACATATTATTTCTTATTTCTTATTCATTATATACTACATTACAGAACATTTCATTACAATATGGAAAAAAGAGTCAAACTTTGATTCGGAAATGGGTTTGAGATCATATCAAAGGCTTACCTCTCAAGGATGAAATGAGTAACAATAAAATGAGATGTAATTTCATAATTTGACCACAATGAATCGAAGCGTTTTAATGTTGATTGCAAGTTTAACTAGTTGAATGATAATAAGTAAACATAAACAAAGTTGAACGCAACAATCAAATGGACATTAGTTGATTTTAATCACAGTATACTGCATTAGTAAAAGACAAATCCAATCTAACCAATTAAACAGCAATGGCGTTTATGAAAACTTTCATCTCTAATTTATATTTTATATCAATATTTTTAATAATTTTGTTCATACCAAAACCTCCTCCTAAAGATTAGTGCATATTGGGAAATTATGAATTACGACAATTTGACTTTATTCATTAGGTTTCAGAGTACAAATTGATAACTCACTTTCAACTTTGATAAGTTAATTTGAATAGAAATTTCTAAATTAAGATTTCTTTATTAATCAGATAATTGCAATATTTTAACAATGAAAAATAGTCTTGAATGAAATTTTAGAGATATGAAGATTTTTGTGAACTGGATCGTGAATAACGTTATCATGTTATCTTATGATGGAAACAAGACAACATTGAAATTGGGTCTAATTAATCTTCAGTAAATAAACTATGAAACTAAATTAAGACCGTCAAGTGATCCTTTTATTTCGTAGTTAAAATTCGTCAATGACAATTCTCAATGCCTTTGCAGAAAGCTTTACATTAACTCGTAAGACTTTACATTGTAGATGCAACATGTGAAAGTTAGACAAACTTATCGCTTAGATTAACCCATTAACAAATGTGACCCTCTCAAATTGTCCCAGAGTCAAGGTAAAGAAGTTCAAAATGCAAGAATACATTTAATCAACAAAATAATGTTAATATTGAAAACGAGTTGAATAGATAAGGCCAAACGCAATGGACTCTCGAGAAGATTAATTTCATCAAATGGGGAAAATAGTCCATCAGTCAAGGCTTATGTTTACTTTTTGTTCACTGAGTTTCGTAAGATGACCTCAAATTCGTTAGAAAAGACGAAACTGAAAAAATTTCAATTTCCGATTTCATTTTGTATTGAGAAGTTCTGGGCATTATGTTAAGCCAAGGGAAATATCTAGCTTCGAATATTACTGATTACGACAAAACTTATTGAAAAAATTATTAATAGCTAGTTATTCTGGACTTAATCTAATGAAGTCATTCCGATTTATTTTTAGGTACATCTAATCAAAACTTTTGTTTGATAAAATGTAAAACTCGTGTAAAATGGAAGAGATTTGGGTGACAATTAATCAAAGCTTGATCTTTATTATCTTCACCACGAGTTGGAGCATCAGTTATACACCAATGTATCTTGTGAGGGTGTAATCAATGAATACCAATCAAAGGTTACTAATCATTAGGTAAATCACAAAGAGTAGGATATGGAGTTACTTTACTCTTTGGTAAATCGAGTAAAGAGCAAGATTAACTGTCGTGTAGTTTATTTAAAGAAGGTAGAAATGGTGAAAATTTTATTCATTTTCTTCGAAAGTTCATGCGAGTAAAGTAAAGTAGAGTGACTAAGAATACATGGGAATCATACAAAATTTATACGAATTGTCAACCTGGTTTGGACTCTTATCTGGTTGAGAAGTTGGTCCAAAAAGTTCATCGGTGATCGAGTTACTTAAGTTGTTGTTTAACTCTACTCGACACTCGAATACATCAGACTGCTTAAACCTTCCTCGATGAATGCACATGAAAACCTGAGAAGCTGCTGGACAGAATTGAATCTCTGTCTAATATTCATAAATATTTGAAAAGCGAACGTTTCAGTCGATTCCCAATCACGAGTACAATGGTCAAATGGGGAAAAGTCAAAATTTCTAAGTAATATTGATCAAGCTACTTCAAGCTTTCATGCTCTTAAGATTTATATTTCCATGAATCTTATAATATTCATATTTTGCATTATAAATGATATTGAAAGTGGTATCGATTGAAAAGTAAACTGTAATAATATTAAATTGCACTCTTTTAATTTGGCGAGTCAATGAATCCACTCCATCGTAATATTTACTACTGTGATTTGACGTTAATTATGAATATCCAAAAAATCTGTTTTTTATCAGTTGATACAGTACCACTTCAGTTTTAAACATGTCTGATTGATTCTATTGACTAAATAAGTTAAGATAGACGAGCGTATGGGTATAAGAGCTTGAATTTGAGATAATCAATTTTCCAAAACAGTAAAGTAAAATATTACTTACATAAGTTGTATATAATATTATAAAGAAGAAATGAAAGAAAGAGAGGGAACCTTTTGTGAAATATGGTTGCATACACCTGTAAAAAGTTATAACTTCTCCGGAGGAACTTGAAAAGGCTTTGATTACAACAGAATCAAAAGAAAGTTCAAGAAACCGAGCCAATGGACAGCGAAGCCACAGAAGTGCTTTCCCCTGCTTCAACTTACACTGAATTCATGGAATGGTTGGAGCAGGCCAATAATGCTAATGTGTTTTGTGCTGATGCTTGTGTTGGTGTGATAAGTGAGGACGTTTTCATGAATGAACTGAATGAATTGATTAATTTTCATGAACCCCAGCCAGATCCTCCGAGCTCCACCAAACATGATGATTTCGTCCAAACTGGAACAATAATAGTATAAAAAGGGCGTCTTTCGAGCCACTTTTTAATATGCAAATGAAGGGGCGGCGCGAGGGGGGCACAATGAGTGAACAAACATACTAAAGAGTGTACTATTTTAATTACTAAAATGATTTAAAACTACATGTAAATCAATGCAGTAGAAATGAGGTGTAAAAGAAAATAAAATGGTTAAAAAAACTTATATTTCAATGGTAGTTTCAATGGTAACTGACAATTACTGCAAGGATCGGTTCAAAATTGACCAAGTTTTTCCATCTTTATTTCAATAGGGACATCATCTTCTAACAGCTTTTTCATTTCTTCTTTTCTCTGCGCAAACAGTTCCGATGATTTAAACATGTTTGAATCATTAAATTAAAATGTAATTGACTTAGGTGCATAGATTTTCGGATTTTTATTATATCAGAAACGCGCGGGGAAAAAAATGTTTTTTAACATAACCGTTGCTACTCTTAAAAAAAGTCACAAGCACTCTACTCTTGTGAAAAAAATGTATGGAGCAATTAAACAATAAAATCTATAAGTGGGAGAAAAATTTGCTAAAAAAGAAAGAGTAACCCTTGACCCTTACTGGCCAAAATGCAGTTTTAAATTTTAGTTGCTTTTAATTGCTTTTTTAGTTTAAGGGCTGCTTTGCTAGTTTGCGGCTTGATTCTTCCTTCCTTTTTTCACAGACTATTCAAGTTTTGTTTTTGAAATCAAGTCAAAATTTTTAGTCTTGCGATTTTCAGTTCAGCAACAAAAAATTTCTGTTCTCAGTTTTTCAATACTTTTCGTGATAAAATGTAACATTTGGGTTAGTTGTTTTACCTAAATTAGTTTATAGTTATTATTCATGAACTTTCACCAATTGGATTGTGGTCTTGTGATTTTGTATTTACATTGAATATTCATACAATTTTTGTGATTTGGAATACAATATTTTTTAATCTTTGGATTAATATTAAATATTCTAAAGGTAAGAATTTCAGCTTTGTACATTACTAATCAGGTGAAAAATTCAGGTTCTTATTTAGCGATTCATTCATTTCAGATTGAATTGATTTCATACTTTTGTCATTTCGATGAAAATTACCATAATTTTATCAGAATAGGGAACATGCGTAGTTAGTCTCTAGACCGTAGAAATCGTAAGCCCAAGCCTGAAGACAACTTTTTGCAATTCAAATTTTTTTATTTTTCGGAATGAAAGTCGAGAAGCATATTATTTTGCAGACTTTGAAAGACGATCCATATAATTTTTTGAGTCGAATCGGTTGCAGTCAGGGCAAAAAATACGAATGCTGTGAACAATTACAAAAGAACTCTCAAATGAAATTAATGAGGAAATGGGATGAATTGGAAATTTTTATTGATAAACTTGAGAAAATACGCCTTTCTTGATAACTAAATGCTTGATCAAATAGAACACCAGCAACTGACAAGTTATTGGATATAAATGGGAAAAAGAAAATTTTTAGCAGTGCTATTTGTGCTATCAAATCTGAAAAATTATAGAATTGAAGTTTGTAGTTCAGGTAAAGCAATTTTGCAATGTCTTGCGAAAGGTGAAGGCATTAGAGAAGCTAGGTTTCTCAAAAAAATTCGACATCAAAATATCATGTAACTTTTGGATGACGATTCAAAATTTGGGTTTGACTACATAATTTTCAATGATTGTGGAGTCAGTATCTTTTCAGAAATGCACGAAATCAGGAATGTTGGATTAGATATACTTCAAAAGCTTGTGCTTAATTTTAACGATGCTTATGTATGTTCATATATCATCATCAATGGTGATATAAAACCCGAGAATCTAACAATTAATTATAAACAAGAATTGATTGTTATTGACTTTGACACAGCCTTTTATGGGGATCAAGCGGATTCACAGATTTTTTTGCTTTGAATATTGGACTTCCAACCTTAGACGTCGAACAACAAAGTATGTAGTTTGGGCTGGAGCTATCGTTTTTACGAAATATTGTATGGACTATTACCTTGGGCAAGTTGTGAAAATTGGAAAGGTATATCTGATTTGATCTTTTATTCACAGCAAGAATCTGAATTCGATACGAATGAATTGTGCTATTAAAAATGATTGTTCTAAGCGTGCAAATGCACTACTTTACTTCACTACTTTATATTTAAAATTGAATGCTAATTAATCATTGTTTTATATGGGAATTTTCGCAACGAAACGGCCCTTTTCATACAAAAACACATGTGCAAAGAACTTGTATTAGCATTAGAGCAGTTTGAGTTTAATAAATTTTATTAGCCAAATCGCAGTAGATATTGTAATCAAACTAATCACATATTTTGGAGGACATTTGTATCCATCAAAATCTAAAATCAAAAGTCATAAACATATGATAGAGTTCGATTAATTGATTTTCCAATCAAAATGGTCAAATTTTATTTTGCTGTTTTTTCTTTGCATTCAGTACAAGTAAGCTCAATGTGGTCATTACGAATAAATTTATTGCATTTACAACATTTTAAGAGCTCAGAATTTTTTCAGTTTATAAACTTAATTGCAAAGATAGCAATTAGATCTGCATCCTGATCCTCTTTGAAGACGCATTTTTTGTAT